TATACCCCAATTTTGTTAGGTTATTTAATTGTAGGCAGTGTTTTTCAAGCTTGGTACCTTTAAGATGTGGGACTTCAAATCCAAGAATTGTTCAGCCAGCATGTTCACCTGTTTCTTTGCTCTGGAACAATCTGAAAAAAAAGGAAGATTTTGGAAATTCTAAGATTTGAAATTGCACTGGCTAATACCTAATAAGAAAATAATTCATTTGCCCCATTATTAAACAGTTTATTTTTTGCTATTTTAATTGTATTTACTTTTATCCTACTCTACCACATTCATACTTTACAGTAAAGCAAGCTATGATTTTGCTATTCTCAATACAAGAATTTTATTGTATGTATCCTACAAATAATTTACAAGATCCAATATAAAATGGCTAATCACATTACTTATCTCCCATCTCCATACAGTATGTAGTAAGTACTTCAAAACTAGGTTTTGGTACTTTCAATTTATTTGCCTTCTTGTCACCAAGCATTCCCAGTCACCATATTCTGGGAGTTGAAGTCCAGACATCTTCTATTGCACTGTAAATAGTTGGAAGTCGCTGCTTTTTTTTCTTTTTCTTTTCCTTTTTACCTTATATCCCCTTTCCCTTCTTTGTGATCTTTATTTTCATTTATAAAAATGAGATAATAACCTCTAATAAAAATGTAAAAAAAGAGAGATCACTGAAAGGGTGAAATCATTATGGAGTGTACCCTATTGGGCTGGGAAGCTGTGTTTCTCAAGTACTCATCTCATCCCAATCCAAGGTGGAGTTATGCCTTTCCTTCAATGAATTGGAGACGAAGACAGAATACAAGCCTTTATGCCATAATAAAAGGGCATCACACCAGGGGTGGGCTTCAAAAATTTTAGCAAGGGGTTCTCTGCCCAGTTGCTGGCTGGGTGTGGCCATGGTGGGCGTGGCCTAGTCAGCCTCCTGCACCATGGCGGGGGGGGGACGAGTTTTTGCCCTCCCCAGACTCCGGAGGCTTTTCTCGAGCCTCCGGGAGGGTGAAAACGGCCTCCCCAGGCTCCAGAGGCCCTCTGGAGTTTCCAGCCTTCTTGAACTTCCGATAGGCCCGTTTTTCACCCTCCCCAAGTTTCCGTGTGCGCCCTGCACCCTGCACTTACCTGCATCCAAAACTGATTGTGTGGGCACTCCTGGAAGGGGTGGGCAGCGGTGAGCAGGGCTAGCCAGGAGTAGGATTTGGGGGTTCTCCAAACTGCACAGAATCTTAGCTAGCGGTTCTCCCGAACCCCTGAGAACCCCCAGCAGCCCACTCCTGCATCACACTCAGATTTTGGCAGTGTCTCCATAAAATCACACTTGAGCAATCAATGAGGAACAAGGTCAAAAGGGGGCATCAAAAGATATTTATAATGTAGGCTTCAATGCCATTAAACAAAGTCAAGACAAGGTAATTCAGAGTAAACCTTTTGCTACGTATTCTAAGTGTTAATAGCAAGAACATGAGATCTATGTGTCTATCATTTCAAGGAATTTGATATGCATTTAGGCTCTACTAATTCTATATAGTGCTTCTGAAAAGGAGCAGCAACCTCTTCAGAAGCAGCAGCTCCTACTTCAATAAATTCAACACATGCATTTTGTAATAAACAGCTATATGTACAGAAATATTTGAATATTATTCCTGGACCACATTCCTTAATGTTGGACCTCGTCTCTCATCTTTTCCAAAAGAAAGTCAGAGACAAGTGAACTCCAGAAACTTTCCCACACTTATTATATGTGTTCATATGTATTATTCATATAATTTATATATGTTAATATAGATAGATAGATAGATAGATAGATAGATAGATAGATAGATAGATAGATAGATACTTAGTATACTTTTTTGGGGTAGAGATAGATTTGAAATTGACTACAGGTACTTAACAACAGTTCATTTAGTGACCATTCAAAGTTACAATGGCATTGAAAAAAAAGTGATTTATGACCACTTTTCACATTTATGACCATTGCAGCATCCCCATGGTCACATGATGAAAATTCAGACGATTGGCAATTGACTCATATTTATGACGGTTGCAGTGTCCTGGGGTCATGTGATCCCCTTTTGCGACCTTCTTACAAGCAAAGTCAATGGGTAAGCAAGGTACACGTAACAACTGTGTTACTAACTTAACAACTGCAGTGATTCGCTTAACAACTGTGGCAAGAAAAGTTGTAAAATGGGGCAAAATTCACTTAAATGTTTCACTTAGCAACAGAAACTATGGGCTCAGTTGTGGTTGTAAGTCGAGGAGCACTGTACACTGCTACTAAATATCCCCTGAGAAGAGGTAGAGAATTCACCAAACAGGCCACTGTGATTATTGGTGTTCAGGCCTGCACTTGAGCTTGCACAAGACTCTCCAGTTTGTTCTGATATTGAAAAAGTTCTTGTCACAGCTTTTCTGTCACCTATATACTGTAATTCTGGAAAAAAAAGATGCCATATAGAAGAGGAAAAGGCAAAAAAAAAGTGAAAGGGGGGAAGGAAGATAGAAGAAGAGGGAGAGCACAGAAGGAGGAAGGCACAGAAATATCATGGTCTTTTTTAGAGCATTCTGTAGAACATTGTCCTCTTCTGTAGTGAGATCTTATTTAGCTCTGAGTTATTGAGACGGAACTCAGTCACTTTTGTAATTGAAAACTTCACTGTTGTTAAAGTTACAGCAAAGGTAGATATTAAGGCATATTTTGAACAATTATTCCCACAATCTCTTAATATTGGCATTCTGTCTGCACTGATGGGAATACAAATCCAGAATAAATAATGGAGAACAATAGCAATAGCACTTAGATTGTTACATCGCTTCACAGTGCTGTATAGCCCTCTCTAAGCAGTTTACACAGTCAGCATATTGCCCCCAACCATCTGGGTCCTCATTTTACCGACCTCGGAAGGATGGAAGGCTGAGTCAACCTTGAGCCGGTGAGACTCGAACTGCCAAATATTCTTCTTTTTCCTCTGTGGTAACAGATTATGTAAAACATGTCTTGCATAACTGAGGAAAACACAACTCAGCTGGCAATTATTACACGGTTGGAAAATTAACTCAGTCACAAGGCTCGTAAGAAAGTTCGCATTTGTAACAAAAAAAGTCATTCTGAATGTTAAACAAGTCAAATAATTATTTTTTTAAAAAGAACATTTGAACTAATTCAGAGGCTGGGTCAAAACTAATTGGTCATTGCCATGGAGCACAGTAAGTCAGACGTCAAAACTGGTAGAATCAAGAAAGATGCTATTTACATCTTTTTTCTTTTTCCATGGGAACTGATGCCCTTTGACCAAATTCACCACATGGCTGCTTTGTGCAGAGACTTTGGTTCCCAGTTTATGTTAAAATTGAGAGATGGGAAATTTGGTAGCTTTGATAGATCTGTTTGGAAATCTGTTTGGAAACCTGAAGAACAGGTGGACAACACAAATAGCCCATTTGTCAGGACCGGAAATTCCCATTTTTTCAAATTACGTATGATACTTCTTTCCAGCCAGTTCTCAAAACTTTATAATTACATTGCCTAAAGTTGTGGTTGTGACTTCTGTATTTGAATAAAGATTAATCACTTGCAGAAATGTAGGTGATGTGACTTGGAATAATACTTATTTACTAGCACTTTTATTGGTCAATGACTGAAATACATTTTTTGCCTAGTAAGTCTTGTTTCCAACTCTTGTTTCCAACTCAGTTTCTGCATGCTGCACTTAAGTGGGTGATTAAATAGATTTCTTAGTTCATCTTGTGTAGTTTCCATTCCAGTATATGCCCAGCCCTTTTGAAATATTGAATGATGAGCTAATGACAATGTTTTTCTTTCCTTGGCTGTTTTCTTCCTTTGGTTTTTTTTCACCTGAATGACTGTTTTGTTTTGTTTTCTTATCTGATCCCTCCATTAATGAAATTAATCCATCTGATGTATACCTTTAACCTAAAATTCTTCTTGCAGCCTTAAATCCATACAAAAAAGGGAATCTATTGAGTGCTCATGTAGACCATAAATAACTTATCATGCACTTATAATAAACCACACTTCTGAAGTACCTTTTACATAATTCAGATACTTCATGTTTATAGTCAAACTTTAATATAATAGATCACTATTATAATAAGTATGAAGGTATGCAGTGGCTTTAGACTTCACAAGAAAATTGTACCTAGTTCTGCTGAGCTGCAGAACTGGCATATACCCATAGAGAATGTCAGCATTTGCTTAGGCTGACACAATGGGTAGGGGCAAGGAAAGCAGGCTGTAGGATTTATTAGGATAAATAATCAGCACCCACTGATTTAACACACCCATGGTGTTAAAGAGATCCAGAAATCTTTAATCTTTGTTTCTATCTAGGGTTCATCTGAGTGCAAACTTTCAGCCCCCCCCTTTTCCCCCAAGGGAACCTGAGATGCCTGGCTCCGACATCACCACAGATATGCTTCCTTAAAGGCAGCTACTCTCAATGCTGAAAAATGTTGATGAGAAGAAGGAAGAGCCACAGCCCTAGACAATGGTCGAACAAATGAACATTGAGTCTGAAAGAGGAGAGTTGATGAAAACATGACAGAAAGCACCCTCCATAGTTTTTAAGGAGAGGGGGATACCATCAGACTTGCATAATTCTGTTAAAATAACCAATAATAATACATACTGCTAATGGGATTTTAATATTTTTTTATACCTGAGGTTTTTATATGTAGTTTTACCTATTTGTTCTGTGCCACTCAGAGTCACTTCGATGAAATGAGCAGCTCTATACATTTGATAAATGAATGAATGAATAAATAAATAAATAAAAATTTTGCAAAAAAAAAAAGTTAGAGTAAGTACTCCCAGATGTGTTGGTCTGCACTAGCTTGCAAGGCTAACAGAAACCTAATTTGTAGCATTGCTGTTGTAAACAATGAGAATAAAGTAAGAATTACAAATGTTTTTGCAATTTTCCAAGTGATTTATAAATCCTTTATAATGCTTCCCCCCCCTCTTTTTTTTTCCATTGCAGGAAGGAAAATGTCTCTATGTCATTTTGGTGATGGCTATATATTGGTGCACTGAAGCGCTGCCTTTATCAGTGACGGCTCTTCTCCCTATAATTCTGTTTCCGTTCCTTGGAATTCTCCCAGCCAGCAAAGTTTGTCCCCAATACTTTTTAGACACCAACTTCCTCTTTTTGAGTGGCTTGACCATGGCGGCTGCCATTGAAGAGTGGAATCTGCACCGTAGAATTGCATTGAGAATACTTATGTTAGTGGGAGTCCAACCAGCCAGGTAAGTAACTACAGAAACAACTAAAATTAGAGTTTAGTTGTGTCCAAAATAAGAAAAGAAGGGGTGGGCTAACATTGCACTTGTCATAGTGATCTATCATATAGCAGAAATGTGTGGATCCCAGATACATATTATTTGTTATATTTATTCCCTATCTTTTCTCCAGGAACAAATGATGGCTTAGGGTTCTCTCTGTTTCTGCAGCATTTCTCCCCGCCAACAACAGTGCTGTGGTATAGGTTGCGCACAATCATGCTATAACTTTGCCTGGCCTTTAACCCAGGTTTTCTTAGTTCTAGCCTAACACCATTATACCACTTTTTGTAAACATGTCAAGTTTGGATTTAGTCAAGGTCTTTTGTACTTTGTGAATTTGGATGATGAATAACAATAGCAATAGCACTTAGTCTTATTATATACTGCTTCATAGTGCTTTACAGCACTCTGAGTGGTTTACAAAGTCAGCATGTTGCCCCCAACAACTTGGGTCCTCATTTTACCGACCTCGGAAGGATGGAAGGCTGAGTCAGCCTTGAGAATGCAGTATTGCAGGCTGTGGGCAGAGTTAGCCTGCAATACTGCATTCTAACCACTGTGCCACCATGGCTCCTGAAAATTTGTTTAAAAAGACTTCTATAGCCCTTGCAAATAAGCTGGTACGGTATGGTATGGTATGGTGTGGTGTGGTGTGTGTGGTGTGGTGTGTATGTTGGTATGGTATGGTGTATGGTGTATGGTGTATGGTGTATGGTGTATGGTGTATGGTGTATGGTGTATGGTGTATGGTGTATGGCAGTGGTCCCCAACCTTTTTATCGCCGCGGACCAATCAGCCTTTGATAATTTTACCGTGGCCCGCTGAGCGCGCGCAGGGGTGGGGGCTTTGGGCCACACGTGTGTACCTGCGCGGGGCTCTCTTCCCTGGAGCCTTTGCGCACGGCCCAGGAGCTTTTGCGCACGGCCCAGGAGCTTTTGCGCACAGCCCAGGAGCCTTTGCGCTGCAGCGTTCATGTCCCCTAGCCGCTGCGCGGCCCAGTGCCAGGTACTCCACGGCCCGGCACCGGTCCGCGGACTGGGGGTTGGGGACCACTGGTGTATGGTGTATGGTATGGTATGGTATGGTACAGGGGTGGGTTCTACTTACCTTTACTACCAGTTTGCAATGGAAGTGTGCGTGCGTGAAGTGCCAAAACTGGAGTGATAGTGGTGCTGGCCCTTACAGATCTCTTGATAGTCTTTGGTAACATTGATCAAGTTATCTTTCTAGATTACTTTGGAAGGATTAGCATGGAGGGCACCAGGGGTGGGTTCTAAAATTTTTTACTACTGGTTCTGTGAGCATGGCTTATTTTGTGGGCGTGGCTTGGTGGGGGGGTGTAATGTGACTGGGTGGGCGTGGCCAACTTTTTTTTAAAAAAAACTTTTAAAAGCATTTTTTCTACAACCTTAAGAGGTTGCAGAAAAAAATGCTTTTAGAAGCCTCTGACGATCAGGCAACTCAGCTGGGATCGCCAGAGGCTTTTAAAGGCATTTTTTTTCCTACAACCTCTTTGGCAGAAGAAGTTGCAGAAAAAAATACTTTTAGAAGCCTCTGATGTTCCCAGCTGAGCTGCACGATCATCAGAGGCTTTTTTTTTTTAACTTTTAAAAGCATTTTTTCGGCCGAAGAGGTTGTGGGCGGGGTAAGTGAGCAGCGACAGGGTCGGGGACCGGTTCAGGGGCATGGCCAGCCAATGTTATTACTGGTTCTCCGAACTACTACAAATTTTTACTACCAGTTCTTGCGAACCGGGAGCAACCCACCACTGGAGGGCACAGTGGTTTCAGTGCTTCAGTGCTCTGGGGCAGGTTCCTGTCAGTGTTGGTGGGGGTTCCATGTAGTGTTAAGCTCCCGCTTTGCAGGTTTTCTCAGGATTCTGCTCTCTTCCCATCCCATACCTATTTGGGATGATGGCATCAGTTGGAATGGTTTTAATAATCATCAGTATGCTGATGATACTCAATTACATCATACTACATCTACACCAGGCCAAGCAAGTGATGACGTCAAGGTTTTGTCCACAAGTCCAAAGAGTGTGGGGGACTGGAGGGGGAAGAAGAGGTTTTGATTTAGCCCTAGCGAGATTGAATGGCTAGAAGTCTTAGGGCTCACTAAACCAGTGGATTTTCCAGCATTTGTTGTGGCTGGGATAGCATTCTCACAAAAAGTGTCACAAAGAGTGTACAGTTTGGGAGACCTCCTAGAATCTCAGTTCCAACTTGACAAAAAGGAGGCACAAATCCATTACAGCTGTTCCTGAATTAGGAGGCCTTACTTATCATGACTTGGTCACTTCCCGTTCAGATTACTGCGACACAATCTATATGGAGTTGTACTTGAAGACTTCTCAAAAGCTGTAACAGGTCCAGAATATGGCGGTGTGACTAGTTAAGGGCTCACTAAGCTACTTTCAGGTAACATTACTTCTGCACAAGCTGCACAGGCTCCCAATAGGTTTCCAGATGCAACTGAAGATGCTGAGTATCAGCTATGAAGTCCTTTGTGGTGTAAATTTGGTTACAATCTCTTGTTAGTTTGACACAGAGCAACACAAGGCACCCACAATTACTCATACCGCTGCAAGATTTCATACGACAGATTTGCTTAGAAAAATAATTCTCATTGAAAATAATTACAAAACATAAAACCTGTTTAACATATTCTATAGATGTGGCTGTCACCTTGACAACAGGACAAAGTGTTTCTATTCTCGTAGGTTTCATTTTGTGTTGAATTTTAAACCCTGTAAATAAAGTCAGTGAGCCTTCTGTTCTGGTGGTTAAACATCAGACTAGAAACCAGGAGATTGTGAGTTCTAGTCCTACCTGGCACAAAGCCAGTTGGTTGAACTTGGACCAGTCATTCTCTATCAGCCGTGGGAAAGAGACAATGATAAACCACTGCAAAAAAACTCTTGCCAAAACACCTGCAGAGATTACTCAAGGCAATTGCCAAGAGTCAGAAAGTAAAATAAAGGCATTTTTTAATCAATCTTAGCTCCTGGTTAGTACATGAACACATTTGTATTGCTGCCAATACAAAAGTGCTTTATCATTGCCTTCTTTTAGGATTTTCCCCCCCAATTTTTCAAGAATTTTTCAGGATCTTGTGGTTTTTGGTATCTTTTATCCTAATACAAAGCGGGTCTGTCCCAGCTCAGGTTTTTTGAGATCACCTAGGATTGGTTAATGTTGAGATTTGATGGGTTTTTAATCTTTGGTCTGGTTTTAAATCCTTTTCCTGTTAATCCCTTATAATTTGTGTTGTGCTCTGGCTCAGTTTTGCTTATCCACAGTCAGAACAAAGATGGTATCAGTTATAGTCCAATATATATGGAAGTGTAGAGAATAAAGAAGATGATCTTGATGGAGCGAATGAAGGCAGCAAGTAGATAAACATTGTGGAAGCCCAAATGTGGCAGAGGAGATCTGAAAATGTCTGAGACAACCCTTTATGTGAATTCACATGAACATAAAAAAGATAGGAAGAGAAGCACATTCAGACTTGCAAGACTCTTACTCTAGCTATTCATAACAAAAGTAGTTATAGTTGGCATATAGTAGTTAAAAGTGGCATATTTGGCATCTGTTTCTGGGTCTGGCTATCTAGTAAGACTGACAGTAAGGCACCAAATTGGTATATGCTGGTAGCAGTGGTGAAATGTAAATTTTGTTACTACCGGTTCTGTGGGCGTGGCTTGGTGGTGATGGGTAATATGACCCAGTGGCCGTGGCCAATTTTTTTTTTTTACTTTTAAAACCATTTTTCTACAACCTCTTTGGCTGAAGAGGTTGTTAAAAAAATGCTTTTAAAGCCTCTGACGATCCCAGCTGACTTTCCTGATCGGCAGAGGCTTTGTTTGTACTTTTAAAAGCATTTTTTCTATAACCTCTTCGGCCGAAGAGGTTGTAGAAAAAATGCTTTTAAAATAAAAAAAAAAGCCTCTGATGATTGTGCGGCTCAGCTGGTCAATGGGGGGGGGAGGGATTTTTGCTACTGGTTCTCCGAACCACCCGCCTCCATCGCTACCGGATCGGGAAATCCGGTCCAAACCAGGAGCATTTCACCCCTGGCTGGTAGGTGATATTGCACCATACTGATTAATCTAAAATGATGTCACCATGGAATTTTCTCAACTGAAATGAAAAAAAAATTGATTCTATAAGATCCTGAATTTCTTCTCTTCTCTTCTCTTCTCTTCTCTTCTCTTCTCTTCTCTTCTCTTCTCTTCTCTTCTCTTCTCTTCTCTTCTCTTTTTTCAGGCTCATTTTAGGCATGATGCTAACAACTTCCTTCTTGTCTATGTGGCTGAGTAACACAGCCTCTACTGCTATGATGCTACCAATTGCATTGGCTGTTTTAAAAAGCCTTTTTGGAGATAAGGAAACATCTAATGATTGCAATAGGGTAAAAGAGGAAAATAAAGGTAAGTCTGATTGATGCATCCCAGTGTTCCTAAAAGTATACGTTCATTTTTGGCATGTATGTGTATATGATATGTATATGTATGTGTGTGTATGATATGTGTATGTGTATGTGTATGTATATGTATAAGGTAAAGGTAAAGGTAAATCCAATAAATAAATAATAATAATAAAGGTTCCCCTTGCACATACGTGCTAGTTGTTCCCGATTCTAGAGGGCGGTGCTCATCTCTGTTTCAAAGCCGAAGAGCCAGCACTGTCCGAAGACGTCTCTGTGGTCATGTGGCCAGCATGACTAAATGCCAAAGGCGCAGAGAATGCTGTTACCTTCCCACCAAAGGTGGTCCCTATTTTTCAACTTGCATTTTTTATGTGCTTACGAACTGCTAGGTTGGCAGAAGCTGGGACAAGTAATGGGAGCTCACCCCATTATGTGACACTAGGGACTCGAACCACTGAACTGCCCACCTTTCGATCAACAAGCTGTATGTGTATATGTATATGTGCAAGGGGGCGCAATGCAGGGGTGGGTTCTAAAAATTTTTACTACTGCTTATTTTGTGAGCGTGGCTTGATGGTCATGTGACAATTATTTAGGATTTAGCAGAAGTACTGGTCTACCAGGCTTTTAACTGCTTGCAGAGCTGTACTGATCTACTTATTTATTTTTGCAGGCACTGGTCTACCCATTTATTTTTGCAGGCACTGATCTACTCATGTATTTTTTCAGGCACTGGTCTACCCATTTATTTTTGCAGGCACCAGTCTACTCATTTGTTTTCTTTTAACACTGATCAGCTGTAGAGCAGCCCTTTGAAACCCCGCAGCAAGAGTTTAAACAGTTTTTTCTGTCTAGCCATCAACTGGGACTCAGGAGGCAGCAATAGATTAGGGGTGGGGCCAAATAAAAGGTAAGAATAATGCGGGGGATGGGGGGCAGGGGGGGCGGGAGGGGCGGGGGGCAGAACAGGTTCGGTGATGTCATATCGTCACCGCTACCGGCTCGGCGGAACCGGGAGGAACCCACCACTGGTGCAATGGCTCAGGGGTTAAAGAGGCTGAACTTGCCAGCTGGAGAGCTGACAGCTTGGGTTTGACCCAAGAGCTATGCAACAAGCTGAACTCCTGTTACCTGCTCCAGCTCCTCCCCACCTAGCAGTTCAAAAGCATGCAATTGCAGGTAGATTAATAGTACCATTTCAATGGGAAAGTAACGTCTTTGGCCACATGACCATAGAAATTGTCTTCGGACAACTCTGGCTCCGTCAGCCAAGAAATGGAGATGAGCACCGTGCCCGAGAATCAGACATGACTGGCAGGGAAACCTTTAGCTTTATATGTATATGCATATTAGTTCCCATGGTGCTGCAACAAGGAATAAGAAGGACAATAGATCTGTAGATGTACATAATATTCAAAGCGGCGTTTTCCTATATTCTAACAACAGTAACTTAGTATGGAAAAATATTTGTTCTGAGTACAAGAGAATGAATTGAAGAAATGATCTGATTTAAACCTCACCTGAGCACAAGAAAGCAGGTCAGTGCTATTCAGATTGCTTGGATGGACAGTATCTTTTATATTTTTTTGAAATAGTATGATAACATTTACAGACATGAGAGGTGGAGTGGGCAGAGACTGCCAGATTTCAGAAATATCAGTATAAACATTTTATGACTTACAATTCAAGTTATTTTTAAAGAATTATTGGATTAACAACAACATGAAAACGAAGATGCAAAAACCCACTGATAATCCAAACTGCCAACTTTGCAACGACAAAGTTGAAACTGTTTCACATTTAATATGTGAGTGCAGCAAAATCATGTAATCAGCGTGCAACAAACTGATTACAAAGTTAGACTGAATTGGTAAATTAATCCACTGGTCATTATGTAAAAAATATAACTTACCTGTATCCAAAAAGTCATGGGAACATAAAGTGGAAAAAGTTGTCGAAAATAAGAAGGTGATGATCTTGTGGGACTTTCAAATACTTTCAAATAAGAAGGATCATCATTTGGAACACAACACACCAGACAGTTGTCGAAGCATACAATTTATTGCTGTACCAGGAGGCGCCAGAGTCGAAGAAAAAGAACTGGAAAAAATAATGAAATATTGCGACCTGGCCATCGAAACTATGCGATTATGGATGAAACATGTAACAGTGATACCCATTGTCATCCAGGCACTTGGTACCATGTCCAAGAATTTTACGAAATACATCAAGAAATTGCAGCTTCCTTCTATAACACCAGCGGAGCTGCAAAAAACTGCGCTACTCAGATCACATATTTTAAGAAGATACTTGGTTGATACTGTTCTATCCCCGTACCCCCCCCCCCCCACAGAAGGCCTGGAGTTAATAAGCCACACGACAAAACTCTTTGAAGATAAAGCTGGCAGCAACCCAGTGGCTAGCTGCCAATTCAGACTTTACTCACACAAAACAAAGATTAGACTGTAAGCATTCTGATAAAACAGGCAGAGTTTCAACAATACAAGGATTAATCCAAATGCAGTCTGATAAAGCAGGCAAAGTCCAGTAACGCAGAGATCATGGATTATTTCCAGTTTTTGCTCGTCACAAACTGAACCAGCCACCACACCCACATTTATACCCTGTGGGGTGTGGTCCAGTGACTCAGCTAATCTCTGGCACGCCTTCCTCTCTGCTGCACACGCTTCTCCCTGCGCCTCTGCCGAGGGTCCAGCCAGCACTTATCTTCTTCATCGCTGTCCACCTGTGGCTGAGGGGACGTGCTTGGCTCTGAGCCTATCTTTTGGCCTTCGGTGTCCTCCGGAGGCATTGCCAGAGGGGAGGGTCCTGGAGAGGGAGGCCTTGCCAACTCCTCTCCCTCACTCTCAGAGTCTGTATCTGTCGATAGCCCAGGCTCAGGCAACAGAGCCACAACAGATACCTAGAATACTGCAGCAACCCATATCAACCATCAGCATCAGTCAATGATATTTGTGATACATTTTTAAATGTTCAGTTGACTGACTTTCATGTTTAATGAATAAAAGTTTATAGCAATAGCAATTAGACTCATATACCGCTTCACAGTGTTTTAAAGCCCTCTCTAAGCGGTTTACAGAGTCAGCATATTGCCCCCAACAATCTGGGTCCTCATTTTACTGACCTCAGAAGGATGGAAGGCTGAGTCAACTTTGTGTTGTGGTCCGCCAGCAGCCTGCAGAGCTGGCAGCAGAGTCGTACAGTGAGGAGGCTGGGGAGGACAATGGGCCAGTCCTGGAGTCAGGGGAAGGCCCGGATGAGGGCTCTGCGTCGGAGGCAGAGATGGGGCCAGGGCCATCTGGGAGCAATGCGTGGACTCTGGAGCTCTAGAGGCAGATAGCAGAGAGGCAGAGGAACAGAGGAGCCTATTCCTAGTGCATGCATGTGAAGAACTGCCAGAAGGCAAGAGCAGCTAAAGCAAAAAGGATGACTCGGGAGTAAAGCCAGGAGATTATTGGCCCTTCCCAGAAGGCTTAAAAGAGCAGCAACAGCTCTTGGGATCTTTGTAGGAAAGCAATGTTGCTACATTTGTTCTTGTCAGTGTCTCTTGCTGCTGAACTTTTGCCAAGAAAAGCCTTTGGCAGGATGCCAAAGTAGAAAAGGTTGGTGATAAGGACGAAGGACTGTTTATGAAGAATTTTTTTTGGACTTAATTTGGACTAAGATGAGAATGAAGTAATTCTCAGCTGTTCTAAGAAAATATGTTTGTTTAGGACTGATTGTGTCTGGTAATAACTACTTGGGCCTAGATCACAACAGTTTGCTTTCCTACCAACAAGGCTAATTACCAACAAACCTTTATCACGATGGAGCAGCTTCGTGCCAAGAACACGAAGCTTCAGCAGCAATTAGCTTTGTTACCTGCACAGATGGCTCAGCTCCAAGCTCCCCCTCCCCGTAGAAAATGTCCCATTGCTGTGCCAGACACGTTTGATGGCAATCAGGCCATGTTTCCTGCTTTTGTGGGACAATGCCAGCTTTTCATCAGCCTAAGAACTGAGAACTTCCCCACTGACTGGGATAAAGTGGGGTTTATGATCAGCCTGCTTTCTGGCTCTGCGGTTCGCTGGGCCATGCCCCTGCTGGTCCAGGCTAGTCCTCTGTTGGACAATTTCAGGAGGTTTTGTGTGCATCTCAGACTTATGTATGAGGACCCCATCAAAGCGCAGACTGCCACCAGACTTCTGAAGACCCTGAAGCAGGGCCGGAACCCGCTGCAGGAATATGTCAGTGAGTTTTGGCTGCTTAGCCAGGATTCGGCCCTTGTGGACGCATTCCAGGATGGGTTATCGGAGGAGTTGCAGGATGAGCTGGTCCGGGGTGATATTCCTCCGACCCTCAAGGCACCCACCTGTGCCTTACGATCGACGCCCAGTTGCAGATATGGACCAGTCGCCATGCCTGCCAGGAGACCCGGGTGGTACCAGTTGTGCGTGAGACCCCAGTTCCAAGAGAGGAGCCAATGGAACTAGGCATAGCCAGACCCCGTCTGTCGGTGGCCAAGAAAAACAGACAGCGATCAGAGGGGTTGTGCTTGTATTGCAGGGAACCCGGGTTCATGGCCGCCTCTTGCCCCAAGAAACGACAAGGGCCGGCCCCAAAGCCACAGAAAACCCTGTCAGGAAATGCCCCAAGCCTGATCTAGGGGAGACTCTGCACCAATACCAAGTCACGCCCAGCAGACATGGAACCCGGACCCACCCGGCACTTGATCCTGGCGGCAAGAGTATTTTTGTCCAATAGTCTGTAGGGGGTTCTGGCTCACGTCTTGGTTGACTCCGGAGCTACAACTAACTTTATGGACGTGGCATTTGCAGCCAAGTATGCAGTCCCTCAGTGTCCAGTGGATCTTCCCATGTTTGTGGAGACCATTGATGGCCGGGTGCTTCTGTCTGGGCCTATTAAGGCCACCACACAACCCTTGCGCCTATTGAGGAGGTCATTCAATTTTATATTACCTCTGGCCTTCATTTTCCTATGGTCTTGGGCTTGCCTTGGCTCTGGACACATGACCCGCAGATCTACTGGTCCCAGAACTTCATCTCTTTTCTGAGCCTGCATGCGTGGACCACCCCCGCCAAGTCTGCACAGGCCAGTTGCTGGATCCAACTGGGGTGTCCTTGCCCCCCGACTTAGAGGACTTTGCAAATGTTTTCAGCCCCCGCACTGGCCATATGACTGCCCCATTGATTTGATTCCAGACGCGCCACTCCCAGTGGGATGTTTGTATTCATTGCCGAACCCTGAGTTGGCTGCGTTACAGGACTTTGTGGACAAAAACTTAGCTCAGGGTTTTATCTGGCCCTCATCATCGCCACTGTCTGCCCCGATCCTGTTTGTGAAAAAGAAGACCAGAGACTTGCGACTTTGTTGCGACTACTGCAAGTTAAACACGATCACAGTGTGCAACTGGTATCCTCTGCCCCTTATTACTGAACTATTGGAACGGCTCCAGGAGGCTACCGTGTGTTCTGTCCCCGTCTCCACACACACACACATACACACACACAGCCAGCCGAGGGTTAAAGGAAGCACTTGGCACGCACAGTTTGTTATCAAAAACTTGGCAGCAAGACGAGCACCGACTGCCAAGTGCTTTTTACTTAATATTCCTTCACCAGATAAACAGAAATACACAGAGTTTGCAAATAGTCCAGTTCAAAACAAGAAACCTTCGGCAGAGTTTGCAAATAGTCCAGTTCAAAACAAGAAACCTTCGGCAGATTTAAGCGTTGTTCAAAGTGACTAGCCAGAGTTAGTTTTTGTCTGTCACAGAGTCTTAAATGGCCACCACACTCTCTTATATAGTCTCTGGGGTGTGGTCCAGTGACTCAGCCTAATCCCTGGCATGCCTCCTCAACTGCTGTAACTGTTTATCACGCCTTCATTGGCATGGATCCAGGAACGACAGATCGCCTCCATCGCTATCATCGGAGACACCTGGCTGCTGGCTAATCTCCTCTTCCTCGGCCGGCACCTGAGGCAGTGCCAGAGAGGAGGGGCCTGGAGAGGGAGGCCTGGCCGACTTCTCTCCTTCATGTTCGGAGCCTTCTCCCTCCGATAAGATAGGCTCGGAGGATGGAGCCACAACACCATGTTCACCAAATTGGACCTGCGTGGGTCTTATAATCTTGTTTGAATTCGTCCTGGGGATGAATGGAAGATGGTGTTCGATACCCAGTACAGACATTTTGAGTATATGGTGATGCCGTTTGGGCTGACCAATGTTCCCGCGTCTTCCAACATTTCATCAATGACATTTTCAGGGACCTCTTGGACAATTTTGTCGTGATTTATTTGGATGACATACTGATCTACTCTCCTTCCTGAGAAAGCCACTAACAGCACCTCCGCCTGGTGCTGCAACATCTTCGGGAGCATCACCTGTATGCTAAACTGGAGAAACGCCAGTTTTTCTAGTCCACCATCGAGTTCCTGGGACATCGCATCTCTCCTGAAGGCATTGCCGTGGAGCCGAGCAAGGTGGAGTCTTTACATAGTTGGCAACCTCCTCGGTGAGTGAAGGATGTCCAGCGCCTCCTCGGGTTCGCCAACTACTATTGGACCTTTATCTTGGGCTTTGCTTCCTTGACCATGCCCCTCACCCAGCTTCTGCAGAAAAAAGTCCCGTTTCATTGAACTACCTCCGAGCAGCAGGCATTCCAGGCCTTGAAACAGGCATTCATGAAGGAGTCCATCTTGAAGCATCCTGACCCCCACCATCCATTTGTGGTGGAAGCAGATACATTGGATGTTGCTGTTGGAGTGGTGTTACTCCAGGGTACTGCACGTCCGGCGGTACCCTCTTCCCTTGCACGTATTATTCGCAGAAGCTCAACCCTTCTGAGCCAATTATACCATCTGGGAGAAGGAGTTACTGGCCATTAAGATGGTGCTTGAGGCCTGGAGACATCTTCTGGAGGGGGCCCGGCATCAAATTGAAGTCCGGACGGACCACAAAAACTTGGAGATTCTACAGACCGCCTGGAAACTGAACCAACGGCAGATTCGTGGTCCCTCTTCTTTGCCTGGTTCAATTTCCATGTTACGTACATCCCCAGTAGTCGCAACCAAAGGGCAGATGCGCTCTCGGAGTATTCCCACATCGAACACCCACTTCCGCTTTGGACAGTGTTGCCTGTAGAGTCTTTCTACGTGGTTCAGGAACCAGTGGATTTACGGGCTCAGATACAGGAAGCGCAGTGGCACGATGCTTACATGGAGCAATGGAAGGAAGAGGTAGGACCCACCTCTCCATTGACATTTCACTGCTTGCTAACTAAAGTTTTTGTTATTCTTCAAGGGTAGTCTCAAACAGAGTTCTGTGCTACCAAGGGATGGATAACTGTGGCCAGATCCAACCACCTCGTGTTCACTCATAATCTAAGACAATCCTTCCTGGAATCACCACCCTCAGTAGATCTAAAATAGCCAAGGACAATAAGTTCTTAGTTACAGACCTGCTGTTCCAGAGAACATAATCCTTTTCCTAATAGTTTGAACAAACTCAAAAACTAGATTGTATCAACATTTGCCCAGTCTGAGACATACACTTTGTACTGTGGAATGGAAAAGGCATCTGCGGTATATTATTGTTTTAATTCCTTCCCTCTTGTTCTAGTCATGAGCTGAGACACCATTTTATTGCTTAAATAAGAAAGAATGCCAGGATTGGTGAAATAGTGAAGTATAAAACATGACAGTGCAAAAGTCACAGGTTCACTGAGCTGTAAGACACATACTTTCAACAGCAGAGTGAGCAGGTTCATAGACTTTGTCCACCTTGTGCTTTTCTGTAATATCCTGTCTGTCCCAATATGAAGAAAGAAGTAAAAGAAGATGACAGTTCCAAGTGGAAAAGTTTATACAAGAAGATTTAGGGTCAAAAGAGCACAGGTTCTGTTACAATCAAGACTCAACAGGGTATTTTAATCCCTAGTGATCCTAATTCTGTCCCTCTGCAAAAAAATGTATTAATAAGATTCTAATAAATATGAAAACAAGCATTTCACAGAAGTACAATACCAATAAGTACATTTTTCTTAAAAAAAAGGCAACAAAGTTAAAGATGACTTTTGTTAATTATGAATCTTGAAAAATCTTAATAAGATTAATAAAATGAATATGGTGCCATCAGAGGTAAAAGTTTCCAGGGAGCTTGGAAATAGATATAGTAGATATGCAACTGCAAGTAGATTTATTGTTCCTTTTTAAAAAAGCCAAAACAAACATTAATGTAATATTTGTGGTATCTTTGATGCTCTCTGAGCTTGGTGGTATAATACCGTAAACCAAAAAGCAACCAAATCATAATCTGAACCAGTATAATTTGTGAACCATTTTATGATGCCATAATTGCCATGTGGTACTCAGCAAACTTTTAAATTCACCTTAGAGCAGTGTTTCTCAACCTTGGAAGCTTGAAGATGGGTGGACTGGAGAAACACTGCCTTAGAACCTCAAAAAAAAAAATCAAAAAGTAATATTCCATGCAGCATAGTGAGACTAGCAACTCTACTTCTACAAATGGAACACTAAAGTATGAAACTACTAATTTAGGATGGCTGTATTTTGCTTCTAGTATAAGCAATATAGTTTAGTAGTAAAATTTGTATGTGTGCGTGTATGCCTGCAACAATTCTACTGAGATCAGAACAGCACATTCTCTTAGGACCAGGTCAATATATTTCAGGTTCCCTCTTTTTTAAAAAATGCAATAATTGCAGTGAATATCAATATTTATTTCAATGTGGACTAAGATGAATTTTATGAATGTCCAGAAGTGAATATGCATTTTCTCCATTTTTTGAAAAGCAGATATCAAAGAAGACCACTTTTTGATAATGGTAGGAATCAATGCAAGTCACATACACTGTATACACATTTAATAAATATGATAATAATATAAATATATTTCAAGAATCATTTTTCTGTTCTATTTAAAAACTCTTTTGAAATATTTATTTTTTTAGGTTCGGTACATCAGAATAAACTTCACATGGTGCCAACTGAGATGCAGCTTCTGACAAATGCTAATGAGTAAGTTGCTATTGAAAAGGAAGACACTATCTGTATGAAGTATCAAATTGCTTCCTTGGCAGTAATATCCAAGGCATACATCTCTGTTTTTATGGAAAATAATCTTCTACATCTTGCTATGTTTTGTAAGATTTGGGGAACTGGTGAGATGGGAAATTCTAATTTTCTTAGTAGGGAAAGACATTTTGTAAACAAGGGACAAGAACAGTGGTGGGTTCCTCCCGGTTCGGTCCGGTTTGGCCGAGCCGGTAGCGGTGACGATATGACGTCACCGAACCGGTTCTCCCCCCTGCCCTCCCACCCCCCACCCCCCACGTTATTCTTACCTTTTATTTGGTCCCACCCCCAATCTATTGCTGCCTCCTGAGTGATGACTAGAGGGAAAAAAACTGTTTAAACTCTTGCCGCAGGGCTTCAAAGGGCCATCCTACAGCTGATCAGTGTTAAAAGCAAACAAATGAGTCGGGTCGTAAGTGCGAGGACTGATTGTAAGTGCGAGGACCTTCCAGAAATGACTCTGACCAGCTAGCCATGCCCACCTAGTCACATGACCTCCAAGCCACACCCACAAAATAAGCCACGCCCACAGAACCAGTAGTAAAAAAATTTAGAACCCACCCCTGGACAAGAACCTACATAGTTGAGAAACAAGCACAGATTTTGATGCAAAAAGATGGTAAGAAGACACCGAGGGTTTGGATCTGGGGATGAATTTATAGTGAGGGTAGGATTCCAAGGTGCTATACGGGGAAGATCTTTCTATATATGTTTTTGTAGTTCTGTGCAATATATCTACTCATCTATAGCACACCAGTCCTCATTAGTAGCATTTCTAGATACTGCTTGCAGATCGCAGTTCCCACAGTTCTCAACAGCACCAGAATCCTGGGTTATTGTTCCATACATCTGGATGATCCTTTTTGAGAAATCTGGAAAGAGAATTTGGGGTTTGGGTATGCTTTCTTCCATTTTCCTTTGATAGGGTTGCAAGGAGAAAACCACCTGCTTCCATTTTCAAGGAGCAGCTGTTTATCAGGATGTCCTCCTGACCAAGATTAATTATGTTTAGTTTTAGTAGTGGTTTAGCCTAGATTAAAATATGGTTGTAGTCCTGGGGAATCTTTTAGTTTTTTAAAAAATAGATGCAGTTTAGTGTCTCCAAGTCCTCATATTCTTGTTAGTTGCAAAGTTGTGTCCAACCCATCGTGACCCCATGGACAACGTTCCTCCAGGCCTTCCTATCCTCTACCATCCTCTGGAGTCCATTTAAGCTCATGCCTACTGCTTCAGTGACTCCATCCAGTCACCTCGTTCTCTCGTCGTCCCTTTCTTCTTTTGCCCTCAATCTTTCCCAGCATTAGGCTCTTCTTCAATGAGTCCTTCCTTCTCATTAGGTGGCCAAAGTATTTCAGTTTCAGCTTCAGGATTTGGCTTTCTAAAGAGCAGTCAGGATTGATCTCCTCTAGGAGTGACTGGTTTGATTGCCTTGCAGTCCAAGGGACTCTCAGGAGTCTTCTCTAGCACCATAGTTCAAAGGCCTCCATTCTTTGGTGCTCAGCCTTTTTCCCTTCTCCCACCAGTTGGAAAACTGCTAAAGAGATTTCTCTTTTCTCCATATGGAATTCAATCAGTAGAAAGGGAGACTGCTGTAATGGTACTATGTTTTTTCCGGTCAATTATCTGTCAGAAGGGAACTGCCTATATCAGGATACCAAGTATAATTATAATGGTGGGATAGCATCACACCACAGTCCTTCCGTCATTTGTTTGTCTGATTGGAATAAAAGGCTTCTGCATTGGGGAGAAGGGGAGATTTGTTGGGAAGGTGCAATGCAATGTTGGTAACTGTGGCTACTACAGTGGCCTCCAGAACTAAAAAAATTGTGTTACCTTGATTAAATTTTAGTTCAAATCAACTACAGTTGATACAAACAATAAGAACAATGCTGTAATTAATTGGAAATGGAAGCAAAACTTACTTTTTTGCTATGCCAGTATAAGAAAATGGAAAGGAAAGCAGGTTCACACATGTATTGTTAAATCTGTTAAATAGTCGTTTTACACAAAATCCAACAAAGGCATTGTTCAACAAGGCTATATGTAATAAGGATATTGGGCATCTCCAGACTGAGTTGGGAAAGATCCCTTCCTAAAAACTTGAGAAAGTTCTGCAAATCAGCGTTGATTGTGTTGGACAAATGGACCTAGTCTATAGTTCGCCTATGATTCAACTATGACTATGCCTATTGTGTATGAGGCAGCGTCTTCTGTTCCTTCTGGCAAACATTCCTTACTCTTAGGCAAGGGGTCTTTTATTTCTTTTTACAGTAAATGTTAAAGATTGAACCTTGAGCCCTCTGCAAGTTAAGTGCATGTTCTGACACTAAGTTTATGGCCCATCTAGTTAACTTTTCTCCTTTTGTCTTTAAAGGAAACAAACATCCAGAATTTAGGTATTTTTCATACTTGCATAAAAGATAAAAAACAAAGGACTTGTCATGCGGGAGAAAGAAAAGTTGTGTCTTCTGATTTTTCATCTTCTATATACCTTAAATGCAGGGATGGTCAAAATGGGGCGGGGGGAACCCTAGTCTAAGTCTTCTTGTTCATATAAAATAGCTTCAACCACTTTACATTATAATGTCATCCTTCCAAAAATATTGAGTGTGTCCCATGATCGCATTCCCATCTCTGTATTAAATGTAGAGTTGGTACTGTTTTTATTTTTCATCTACTTAAAAGATGGTCACAATCCTAAACAAAAAGGTTAAAATTAATTAAAACATTGGGCGCCACTGGTGCAATCTATTGCTGCTTCAAACTTAATCCAACCTGTACCCATAGAGGCCTTACCCTTTTGCAGAAGAATTAATCCCATTACTTATAATATACAAAGTGCCCCAAATATTCCTCTCTGAAGGTAACAGTAGACCTATAAGCAAAAACTTATTTCAAATGCTATATTTTTATTTTGAATGTTTTGAAGGAAAGACATGACTGAAGAGAAGGAAGTCACAGTTGACATTTCCGTGGATGCAATGAAGGAAGAACAATACAAGGCAAATGTATGGAAAGCATTTCTGATTTCTATCCCTTATGCTGCTAGTATTGGTGGAACAGCAACACTGACTGGGACAGCCCCGAATCTCATTCTTTCAGGACAGTTAAAGAGGTACAGTTTTTGTCAGAGTTGGGCATCTGGTATTTGTAGAAAACAACACTGGCAACGATAATAGGAAATCTTCAGATATTGGTCAGGTTCACACAATGCACAATGTGACTTTTTGATATTGGCTTATTATATTATGTGAATTCAGCCACTATGTTTTGTGTCTCCAGATGGGTGAACCAACTTATTGTGACCTATTGAAAAATGTTTAATAAATACAGCATAAATTAATTCTATGAAGTCAGTCAGTGTGTGTGTCAGGAATTGCGAAGTTAGGGACTGTTGAGTAGCATTTTCCTAGAGAATGTAGAAAAAATTCAGATAATCGTGGCTAATCTTTTATTAACTGCATTTTATAAATTGGTTTTAGAAGGTTGTAAGACATATTGTGTTGGTTATATATTTCATATTTCAAATGTATTCAAAGATATTTTCTCCACTTTGTATTAATTGGTCTTTTTCTTTCTCTAAGTTATTTTCCAGGATGTGATGTTGTGAACTTTGGCTCTTGGTTTGTGTTTGCCTTTCCCTTAATGGTACTTTTCCTTTTTCTTGGATGGCTCTGGATATGCTTCCTTTATGGATGCATTAGCTTAAGGTATGGTTACATCAGAGTTATATGTATAATTTGAATTTGTTTTCATTTGCAGTTGAAATAATTACTTTAACTGGGTATTCATCCAAAAGTTGGAACAAGGGACATCTTTAAGTTGAATGTATATTCAACCTGTTTTCATTCATATTATTTTCTGTAATGTCCTTCATTTTTTAAAATCATTTTTGTTTATACAATGGGGTTTGTGTCCTTTGTTCCTAAATATGCTGACTTTTAAAACTGGAAATGTCCATTACCAGCAAAAGATAGAGAACAAGATATTTCAACTGGGAAGTGGAAGTTGTAAAGATATTTCTCTTCCAGCCTTTTTACTAATCCTGGAAGAGTTCTCTACACTTCTACACTTATTCTTCCATCATGATTAAAAATTCTGAAACTGATGTTGACATAGTTTTGTTGAGAGCTGCAGGGAGTTTCATTAATTTGCTGTAATGAATATAGGGTTCAAAGACAAGTATTTTTTTAAAAAAACAGTTGAATATTCAGTAACTAGAAGAAATGTTCTGTTCTTGTACTTATTGGTTTTCTTTAAATGTACTGTGATAACAGTAGATATTCACATTTTACGAAAGTAAAAAAGCTTGTGGGTTTTTCCTTCTTTCAAGCTTCAGTGGTTTTGCAGAATTAGAGTTAAAGTATCTCCCTGGATATTTGGACCAGGGCATGTTACATTTGACAAGGATTAAACTTCAGTGATTTCATTACACAATTTGTTAATTGGTAACTGTTTTATTGTAAACCTTTTGTAATCTGGGTACTTACAACATCCTCTTCTCATCTCCACTGATGCCTTCTTCATTTGCTTTCAAATTGAAGGCATTTCTAAGGAATTCAGGGACATTTCAAAAGAGTATTTTCTAAACTTTAAAGATAATAATTATAATAGTAATCTGCTCATAGCACAGGATAAGATGTCTGAGCTAGTTTTTAATTTGGTTTTCTTGACATTTTATTTTTTTATGTTAACTGCTTTCACTGCCAAGATGAGGTGATGAAGATTATGATAATGGAATATCTGTATTTTAAATAATGCTATATGTAAAATAATCTCTATTATAAAATAACGTAATTTGCCATTCACATATTCTTTCCCAAAAGTTTTTTTTTCTTTTTAATAAATTTACAGACATATCTAAAATTCTGTTTTCACTTTGTCATTATGGGGTTCTGAGTGTAGATTAATGAGAAAAAAAAAAGAATGTCAACAACTAGAATGACGCTGCAGGAAAACAAAATTGACAAAAGTGAAGTGGGGGGTCTGAATACTTTCTGAATGCACTGTAGCTAGGCTAGCTGGAAACTGTGAGAAATCTCTTTGAAATGGAGCAACTTTGTGATAAAGTGAGAAATCTACTAATCTGAAATAGGAAGTCCTTCAATGCACAGAGATAATGCATAGGTGCAGAAGATTAGAGATTTGTGAATATAGTTTTTATATGACAGTGACATTCTTTTTACAACTGGGGAGGCTGATTCTTTATTTTTATTTTTATTTTTTTGCATATACAAGTATTTTTGCTGCTTACTGATAGGAGAAAAGAAAGATGTTCAATTATTTTACTAACTAAAAATACAAAAATCTTGAGTTTCTTACAATGTACCTGGAACATGATAGCTACTTAAACTCCATTCTCACATTGTTTTAAAGAACATTTTGTTTGCCACATTTTGTGGAAATTCTCAACCATTTCCACCCATATTATAAATATTATTTTTAACTCTTTCTAGTTTTATAATTGGCATTTGTCAAAAATGCCAAGATGAACATTCTCAACAGATGATCACATGTACCTATGTCCAGGCAGACAAGTCTAAACTTTGCATCTTCTTCATAGTGGTACTTTCTTTATAATTCTTTCTCAGAAACAGGACTTCATAGGTATTGAACGGAACCTTTTAAAAAGTCATTTGGCTGCTAAAATAATGATAATATATTCTTTAAAATGCCCCAGTGATGCTGAATATAGTCAGTAAATAGTGTACTGTCATGGCATGACAGAATTGTCATTCAAAAGTATCTCTTAGACATATAACCTATTTTCCTCTAAAGTTAAAACAAATTTAACAAAATGTTAACAAATAATCAGCCAAAATTTTAAAAACACAGAAATCAGAAAATAGAATTATATTAATCAACAGCAGTAGGAATTCTTTTCTGCAAGCCAGGATCTTACAATAAATATTGTGGATGATCTGGAGAAATGGCTACACAACTTAAACTGAGCAACTCCCCCCACCCACTTTTCCGATTTTCAGAGACTGCAAAAAGAAAAAATCGGAGATAAGAGCTGATGCAGAAGGCAGAGCTCGGGCAGTTATAACGGAAGACTATGAGAAACTGGGACCGATAAAGTAAGTCACAATGAGAATAACAAACATCACAAAAAAGAAGATGAAATTATTAGGAAAGGACATGAGATATCAAATAGATGCATATTATAATGGTAACATTTCTATTCAGTCCCATTTAACATCAGAGATATCTGCAGGTTTTGGTCAAAAGAGTTATAATGGTGGTTGAGATGATGCATTGGAAGCCCTGTCTATTTTTTATGTGCAATATGTGTTTAAAGGTCTTTGTTTATGACTGTACATCTAGGTTAGAACTAAGGACTCTAGAATTAATTTAATTCTAATGTCAGTACTGTCATCTAATAATGGGGATTTTTCATAAATTTCAGATTTCAACGTATGTCAACAGCTGTACTTAACTCTTTTACAAGAAAAATCACTGTAGCGATAAGAATGTTCATGAAATACACATTCTCCTATAGCTGTTTTGTTTCTATTTTAATGTCTTCTTTTCATTGATCAAGAATGCTTAGTTGGAGCCATGCTTCGAGACCAGATTTCAAATGACAGAATCCATTTGAAATATTGTCGCTGTTGTTGTGTTTAATTATCTCTGCTAAATTATTTAAGTAAAGAGTGAGCTAATTCTTTAATTAGCTAGTCTTCTGAGTTTTGAAAATTTGTAGCTCAGGCACTCAAGAATGATCCCACAGAGCAATAAAGGATGTCCTTCATGAATTATCTTTTATATAATGATCACAAAAGCTGAAAAACTTCAGCCCACATAATTAGAGGGCTGTTCTATAAATTATTTATGGAGCCCATTGCTTTCACTTTTTTTCTTAATAAGGTAGTTAGCTCATGCAGGCTCCGTTGTTGCGTATTGTACCTATATTTATGTATTCTCAGATAGAACAATCAAAAGGGCATTTTCAGAAAAAGCCAGACAATCTTTTTAATTTGTTCACTTTCCTCAGATTTTTTGTTTTGTTTTTGTGTTATACTTTTACCTTTTTAAACTTGACTTTTAAAAATCTGCGTATAGATATTGCATAGATACTGCAAAATAAGGTAGGACAGGTTGCCTGAAAAGATGCTGATAAGATTTCATCATTAAGAGATGGTTATGCAAGAAATTAGTCTCCTGCTCCACCATTCAAGTGATTATACATCAGGAACCTGCAAAGTGTCACTGTAAAAATCAAAGGCTTTTTACTGTTTTAAGAATATAAAAACTCCATTAAACCAGCCCCTGCCAATTTGATTAGCAATTCCAGATTTCTTTGAAATCGCTTCTGTTTCTTGTTTCTTTCCTTAAATCTATTGATGGTTTTCTGCTTTTATTTATTTATTTGCTTTTGATGCTTTGGTTGCCTTTAGAGTGCTTTTTGATGCTATGGTTGTTTAGTAATGAAACTCCTTTTAAATACTCATTATGAAGTAGCTTTCCATTCTGCTCCCTTCTCAGCATCCAAAGGCTGAGATTTTAACTGATTATAAAATTAGACTTTTAGTACACAGTGTTGTATTTAACGTAACCAAATTAAATATAAATTGTTTTCACATTCCTGGAAAACAATGCACATATGGACCAAAACAATGTCTACTTCTGACTCTGATCATTATATGCTATACTCCTGTTTGAATTTTGAAACATAGTCTTCATGTATACAAAATCTATTTATTGAAAAACAAAGTTCACCTTTCAGGGTACTATCACCAGCCACTGATGTATAAATCACAAAGCATTTGAAAATATAGGTTAAAAATGTACACATAAAAATGCACCAAGATGATTTAATGCACCAAATTTATCTGTACCTGCCAATTTATCAGTTCTCGCTGTCTAGGCAGAGAATAAGTCTTCCAACCCATTCTTAAAATATGGGCAGGCTCATACACTGACGTTTTTAAAGCTCAAAAACATTGCTTTGAATTGTGAAGGGAAGCAATAAGCAGCCAATGTAATCAATACAAGAATATCTTCATTGCCACAAGCATATTTGTACCCTATTCTGTATCTACTGTAATCTCTGAACTACCTTCAGAGGCAGTCTCATGCCCCTAAACACATGACAATAATTTAAGGTGAATATAACCAAGGTATGGGACATCATGACAAACATATTTCAGATATAAATATAGGCAAGACTCAGTTTAGCTTCCTAGACATATCCATTAATGCGTCTTGGCAATAGTATGGAAGTAGATTGCTGATGCCTTCTTCTGGAATGTTTTTGACTTCCTAATCTTGTCTAAACAGTTATATACAGCATTTCTCAGCGATCATTCATTTAAATACTACTCAAGTCTGGCTCTGCTTATGTTTTTCACAATCAGCTCTGATCGGCTACTGCTGTCTACTCAAGACCTTCCAAATATACATTAGACATTTCAGACATTAGTTCCTCAAATAGAATGGAAGTGTGTGTGTGAGGAAAATTCATGTTTGTTTGTACCGATATTCATTTATTTGAATGCCTGGAGATAGTTTATATCCATGCTTATCTACAACCAAGATTCAAATAAGAAGTGTAGTGGCTCTTGGCAATTAAATGGGGAAATTGCTGCAGGTTTCTTGGCAACATTTTCAGAAGTGATTTTCCACTGCCTTCTCCTTATAACTAAGAGAAAGTGACTGGCCAAAATCACCCAGTTGGCTTCACGCTTAAAGCAAGATAAGAGCTCAGACTGACCCATGCCTAGTCCAATAAACAAAACTGACTCAGGTTATATGATATGTGTTACATAACAGATAAATAACATTTGGAGTTATATTCATTTTGTAGGTTTCTCCTGCATTTTTTTGCCTTTCACATAAAAAAACACCTTAAATTATTTGTTCCTCTTCATGTTTCCTACCATCTGCTACTTCTAACTGAACTTAAACTTCAGGCAATTATTTAAGTTAAGTGCTTAACTTAATTTTATTCCAATACAGGTTTGCAGAGCAGGCAGTATTTGTTCTCTTCTGTTTATTTGCCATCCTGCTATTCTCCAGAGATCCAAAATTCATAACAGGTTGGGCAAGCTTATTCAAACCAGGGTAAGCTTTTATTTTTAGTTTATTCAAACTCATTTAAGTAAATAAGAGATTTAGGAATTCTGTCCTATATTGAATGGAAAATTGGACCAAATGTTCATATCAGTAGTGGCTTTCACTTACCTTCACTATGATTTGGAATTGTGAGCGTGCACGTGCGCAGAACCTTCTGCACATGCGCAGCACATCCGTGATGATGTCCGGGTGGGTGGGCGGAGCCTCCCGCCACTGCCGTTACCAGTTCGCCCCAAACTGGGGCGAACCGGTAGAAACCCACCACTGGTTCATATATTTCTTGAAAAAGTCATCCTAACTTGAGTTTAACAATAACAACAAAGACAATTTTGTTGTAAAATATCTATCAGGTTAATGTAGCTGTGTGGTTATTTAAAAAGTGAGAACATGCTTCCAATTTTCAAGAATACATAGAAAAATCATACTCTTTTCCTCTGATAATGCTGTTTATAAACTTTATTGAATTGTATAATCCACTGATTTCTCAATTTGCTTCAAAAACAGCATGCATTGCATTTTAAATCTTTTTTCTGCATTTAAGAGATTATGCAATGCCAAATTTTGATCATGCTTTAGTTGAAGTTCCCAGATCTGCCTTCTTCTGTTGCAGAAAGATGGAAATTATATCTCATTAGACCCATAGGGCACCATCATATTAGTGAAAACTCTCATATTTCATGTATCAGAGGAAAAGGTCATAAGTGTTTTCTTTTTTACTTCCTCTTAGATAATGGTTCTATTGTAGGACACATACTTTACATGGAAATTAAATACCTAATATATCCAATTCAATATCTAGAGTTTTTAATTGTCTAGAAGTTTGAAGGACTTTTGCTTAAGGTCTCAGAGCAAATGCTGACAAAGGACCACAGTTAATATTTGTAGGGAGGGTGTTTCAATTTTCATCATGAACTTGGACAGGGCCATGATTTAGATGTTTACCTGACTTTTTCAGAAGTGGTTTTTATTTTTTATTTTTTTAATCATGCTCTTTTAAAAGATGTGCTTAGTCTAACTCAGAAGTTCCACTTCCTCCCTGTGTTGAAACAGCTGCATTGTTGCACTTAATTTTTAAATCCAGATCAAAATGGGGGGTGGGGTGTTTCAATGTTCTACATCTACATTACTTTCAGGATCACCTATCACTACAGTCCATCCTACTCTTCCAGGTCCAACAAGGTATCTTCATCAGTTCTCCTGGATATACAGTATCTGACTCTGAAATTATTTGGTCTGTAGCTGGTGAAATAGCCTTTTCTCTCTTCATTTTAGAATATGATTATTTCAATTATTGTACCCTATAATTGGTCAGTTATCAATAATCACTCAATGATTAAAAACTAGTCTTGATTTAAAAAAATAAAGGCTACTTCTCATGCTTTCTCCAATTTGTAATTTTAGGTTCCAATTAATTTTCTAATTTAGGGCAGTAATTTGCAGGGTTTTTTAAAAATAATTATAAACTGTAAATGTTCATGAACTTATTCTTTGATAAAATCTGGTTCGCTTACGTAGAATCTTCTTTCCATTTCTGTTAGGTTTGTCTCAGATGCAGTTACTGGAATCACAATAGTGACAATACTGTTCTTCTTCCCAGCGAAAAAGCCATCTCTTAAATGGTGGTTTGATCTAAAAGGTAAATTGCTGGTTTACCAAAGTTTGTTCTCAGGTCTCATATTTTTAAATTCTCTCTAGAGTGTATTGTAACACTGGCTTCCACAGGCCTATAGAAAAGGTTGACTGATACGTTTCTCTTTTTAAAACTCATTTATCCTATAGAGTATTAAAAATATTCAGTTAGGCAAAGAGGGATGAGGGAAAACACTTATTGATATTAGTGCCTCACTTTGGACTGGAAAGGAAAAGGGTGCCTTGGAGCAGGGGTCTCCAATCTTGACAACTTTAAGACTTGTGGACTTCAACTCCCAAAGCTGGCTGAGGGATTCTGGGAGTTGAAGTCCACAAGTCTTAAAGTTGCCAAGGTTGGAGACCCCTGCCTTGGAGTACACAGAGGCTTTCACATAGCACCTTTCAGAACTTTGAAAACAACTATATCTTCCCCCAGGATCACATGGTTGCCTTCTATAATGTGATCCGGGGGTGGGGGGAGAGGGGGGACCTAATTTGGCTTAAAGAAATATAGGCAGATGTTATGAAGGATCCATGGTACTCTCTGAGCTTGCTCTTTGGCATTATAGCAATACCCCAATCAGGAAACTGCCAAAGAGCCATTAGTAAACAGCCCAACAGGTTAGGGTTAGGGTCCAGATCCCTAATCCCTAAAACTGCCCCTTCCCACACAGACAGGCAAGACACCAGAATATCAACTGACAACAAACAGCACTCCTTACTAGCACTGTTGTTACCTAGTGAGGGTAATGAAACATCTGCAAGAAAACAAGCAAGCTCAGAGAACACCAAGGATCCCTCATTTCAACCTTGAGCTCAAATCAGAGGTGGTATTCAGCAGGTTCTGACCAGTTCTGGAGAACCGGTAGCGGAAATTTTGAGTAGTTCGGAGAATCGATAAATACCACTTCTGACTGGCCCCGCCCCCATCTAGTCTCTGCCTCCCGAGTCCCAGCTGATCGGGAGGAAATGGGGATTTTGCAGTAACCTTCCCCTGGAGCGGGGTGGGAATGGAAATTTTACAGTATCCTTCCCCTGCCTCGTCCACCAAGCTATGCCATGCCATGCCCACCAAGCCATGCCACGCCCACAGATCTGGTAGTAATTTTTTTTTAATCCCACCACTGCTACAAATATTCTCCTTTATTAGTAGGCAGATGTTATGCACACTCAATAGAATAGAATAGAATTCTTTATTGGCCAAGTGTGATTGGACACACAAGGAATTTGTCTTTGGTGCATACACTCTCAGTATACTTAAAAGAAAAGATACATTCATCAAGAATCATAAGGTACAACACTTAATGATAGTCCTAGGGAAACAGTCAATATAAATCTTAAGGATACCAGCAACAAGGTTACAGTCATACAGTCATAAGTGGGAGGAGATGGGTGATAGGAATGATGAGAAGATTAGTAGTAGTGCAGACTTAATAACTAGTTTGACAATGTTGAGGGAATTATTTGTTTAGCAGAGCGATGGCATTTGGGAAAAAACTGTTCTTGTGTCTAGTTGTTCTGGTGTGCAGTGCTCTATAGCGTTGTTTTGAGGGTAGGAGTTGAAACAATTTATGTCCAGGATGCAAGGGGTCTGTAAATATTTTCACAGCCCTCTTTTTGACTTGTGCAGTATACAGGTCCTCAATGGAATGCAGGTTGATAGCAATTGTTTTTTCTGCAGTTCTAATTATCCTCCGAAGTTTGCTTTAAAGAATCTTGAGGAGGGAAGAACAATGAAGATCCAGAAGGGGTGACTGTCAATGACAGTGGATTCATTGATAATGTGTTCTGTCAGATGCCAATTTCCCTGTTCACCACAAAGCACCAAGTTCTCTGCTCTTTTCAGCACAGACTGTGGATGACAATGGAAGTAATGGCTTTTGAAGATCCTTCCTTTAGTTCCCCAAATATAATTGTTTGCCTTTCTTTCTTTCTTGCCTTTCTTTCCAAAAGCACCTGACATTTGGATAATTAATATAAAGGCAGTGTTGCAGAAAATCATGTGACTTGGCTAACTTTGTCCTCAGGATAAGGGAGAATTGTAGTAATGACACAAAACAGCTATTTCAATTGTTTTGCGAGATGGATATAAATTGGACAAATAAATACACAAATACATAAATGTGCTTACTCTAGTAATAAGAATTCTCTTAGGTAACAGGATGCCTTGCCTTGCAAAAATCCATTTATAAACCTTTACTGATAAGGTTTGGATTATTTGTTGCCCTAAGTGTTATGTTTGAACTGTGAGTAGAAAATTAACCCTCTAGATCCAAAGTGCGAACTATTTTTTTAAATGCCCACTGAATGGGCATTAGATTTTTAAAATACTTTTTTATTTGAAGCAAAGAAAACATCAAGTTCAAAACCAAATAATGGCAAATAAGCAATAAGCAAATGATAAAAGCAAAGCCAAAAAAGTGATTTCAAAGACAAATGTAAAAATGTTGCTCATACATATTCAATATTTCTATTCTGATATTTGCATAGACAAAGGTCACCAGATAAATATTGAAGTTACAGCATTTCTGCACACTACATACTAAAATATACAGTATTTGACTGAAAGGATAAGATTACATATTGAATTAGTTGGATTTCTCCATTTTTTCTCTGCAGCAAGTGACGAATCACATTTACTGGAAGAAGTGTATTTATCTAATTACACATGTATTCATGCTATGTTTGACCAGAAATTGCAACATGGTAGATTTTCTGATCCACGTTTTGCATAAACTGAAGTTGTTTCAGTAAAAAATGCTCTTATATATCATAGTGATAGGTTTACTATCTGGTATCCTATCAGATAGTCAGGTTTACTATCTGGTATCCTCCTTGCATTATTGTTCCTTGTTTCTAGCCAAAACAGCCAATGATTGAATAAGCTGATTGAATGGGTGCTGATTATGGAAATTATAGCTCATCATATTTGGAATGCAACAGTATGGTGGTTTAATGAATGAATTAAATGATATGTTTCTATTTTCTTTTACTTCTGGGGCTTTTTAGGCCCAATCCATGTATTACTTTTCAGTGTTTTTGTAAATCTGAAATGCTGGTGTTAACATTACCATTTATATTATGCTGAAAAGCTCTTTCCTCCCAAGAATTTGTATCAAATCAATTCCTGGTTCATTGGTCTGTGAAATTTTGATTCACATACCTATATCTCATATATAAAATATGATAAACGGGTTTCTTTAATAGAAGATAGTTCATGACACAAGAGATGCCCCTTACTGTATAATAGGATAGTAATTCACAGTTTAGCATCAGAAACTCAGCTCTCATGACCCTTCCCCTCCCACCTGACATAGCCATGAGGATTCCAGAGGATTTGCTCTTATATTTGCTTAGACACTGTTTATCATGTTGCCTGAACTAGGAAATCATAGTTAATATTAACTAGTTTATTTGAAAGGAGCCAGTTTGAGGCTTGGCAAAAGATGCAAAAATATCTGAATGTATTATGGTTGCCTTGGATTCAAAGAAGAGCAAAAGACTGTCAACTCAGCTTTATCTAGGCTCATTCACATCATATTAAGCTATTATTTACAGTAAGGGTCCCCAATCCCGGGTCTGTGGACTGGCACTGGGCCACGGCATGCCAGAAACTGGGCTGCACAAACAAGTGAAGCCCCATCTGCGGGATGCAGGCAGCATGCAAAACCACACCTCATATGGTCCACAGAAAAACCTCTCTCCAGAGAACTGATCCCTGGTGCCCAAATGGTTGGGGGCTACTGATTTAGGGCAGCATTTCCCAACCTAGTGCCCTCTGCTACATTGAGACTACAGTTTCCAGAATTCCTATACAAATTGATGATTCTGTTTGATTTATTTCCTACATTCAATATATCTGATCCTCTAGACATATGCATGAAAGAATTTGTAATAACGGTATTATGCAAAAATGCAGGAAGGATACCAGTTAAAACTACACTAGACTATGCATGACCTGTTGGGACATCCTTTCAAAGTTATTTCTTTACCTAAAGAGAGAAACAGAATGATCATGGATAGGCAAAAAGCAATAGCAGCGGAAGCAACTTCTCACTTTCTGCTGGCCTCCCCATTGTCTTTGCTTGTGGGAAGCTAGCATGGATTGTCAGAAATCTCGATCACTGACTGTGGCTACAACAATGTGAATACAACTGGTATGAAGAGCCTTGAAATTTCAATTACATTGGAATAATGGGTCCTGGATTTTGTATGCATTGTTTAAGTTAGCTTGCAAAAAATATGCAAAAAAATAAAAATAAAAATTGTGCTACATTAGGACTGTAACTTCCATCACTCCTAACCACCATTATCTCTGGGCTGACTGGTTAAGGATGCTGGGACTTGTACGCCCAAAACATCTAGATAATCCCAACATATCTGGAGGTTCTAGGTTGGGAAGGCAACCATAGACTGTATTGCTAATTTCTGTCCTTCATTACAAACCTTTTCATCTAGCATCAAATGTTGAGAATGAACCTTTGCTAACTTGGAGAAAAGCCCAAGAAAGTGTTCCTTGGAATATAATTCTGTTGCTTGGAGGAGGATTTGCAATGGCAAAAGGATGTGAGGTACGTCTGTTAAAGTGCAGCCTATGAAACATTTGTCTCTGTGTGTGATTTTCTATAGGCACTATTGTGATATATGACTTTACATTATATTATGCTACATTTATTTATTTATTTATTATTTAAATTTCTATACCGCCCTTCTCCAGAATAGGACTCAGGGCGGTGAACAGCCAGAATAAAAAACAATACATACAAAATTTAAAAACAATTTAAAATAATTAAATATTATTGGCCGTAAATTAAAATAACCCAATTTAAAATCAATTTAAAATTAACTCAAGCCAGCCCCGCTAATTGAAATAAATGGGTTTTCAGGGCCCGACGAAAAATCCGGAGGTCTGTTATTGTACGTATCTCCGGGGGGAGGTTGTTCCAGAGGGTGGGTGCCGCCACAGAGAAGGCTCTCCCCCTGGGGGTCGTCAGCCGACATTGTCTGGCGGACGGCACCCTGAGGAGGCCCACTCTGTGCGAGCGTACTGGCCGGTGGGAGGCTATTGGTGGCAGAAGGCGGTCTCATAAGTACCCCGGCCCTAAGCCATGGAGCGCTTTAAAGGTGGTCACCAACACCTTGAAGCGCACCCGGAAGACCACCGGGAGCCAGTGCAGCTCGCGCAGGAGAGGTGTTACGTGGGAGCGCCTCGTCGCCCCCATAATCCCCCGCGCGGCCGCGTTCTGGACCAGCTGGAGCCTCCGGCTGCACCCCAGGGGGAGCCCCATGTAGAGAGCGTTGCAGTAGTCCAGGCGGGAAGTGACGAGTGCCTGAGTGACTGTGCGTAGGGAGTCCCGATCTAGAAAGGGGCGCAACTGGCGTATCAGGCGAACCTGATAGAAAGCCCCCCTGGCCACGGCCGTCAAATGATCTTCCAAAGACAGCCGTGCATCCAGGAGGACGCCCAAGTTACGAGCCCATACAGTGGCCTGGTTCACACATTACATTAAATTCAAATCAATTTGGTCAATGTTGGCTTAGTGTGATCTGTTCATCCCTACCATTTATGAATTTAGCTGTATGTATAAAACTGACCACTTTATTTGCTTGTTTGTTTGTTCAATTTCTATAGCTGCCCAACTCAACCAAGTGATCTGAGCAGCTTAATATAGTTTGCTTAACTAGCCATAATTCAAAAAGTCTTGCTATAGTGTGGTGTTATATTTGAACTAAAAACCAATTTGGTTTAGTGGTTAAGATACTTGGCTAGAAGTGGGGAAATTTGAGTTCTAGTCCTTTCTTAGGTCCAGAAACCAGCTGGGTGACTTTGGCTACTCACTTTTTCTAAGCCCTAAGAAGAAATCATTTTATTTTATTTTATTATTTTATTATTTATTATTTATTTGTCAAGCATGTATAAGATAACAGATATAAGTATAAACATGATTACGAATACAGGAAATGGATACGAATAAATGGGGACACAACTAGATAGGGACTTGTTCATATAATTCCTAGGAGTCGCATTTAGCTGAAATGCAAAATAAATAGATGATAGAAAAATTCATCACGTGAATTTTTCTGAAGGGGAAAAAGTACTACAGTGACTCCTCAATTGAAAATAATCACAGATGACGGTAATAATTCAAAACAGGTGTATTGTTTAAAAACACAATGTGCTACATCTTTTACAATTAATTATCTGGTCCCAAGCAAGCTTGGATGTCTTTATTATTCTAATAGAATAAAGAGATATTTTGCCACACCAGCAATATGTGAGGCAGTAAATATGAAGGGTAAATGGCCATCTTCATTCATCTCCCTGAATGAGTCCTCCAGGGAGGCATATCTATTGTCAGTTAAATGATCTTCCCCAAATATTGTCATTGTATGATAAGAACGGAAGGAGATTTGCAGGGGTTTAAATATTATTGATTCTCTTACATAACTTTGGGAAATTTCTTTTCTTGCTACAGGAATCAGGTTTGTCTGTCTGGATTGGCGGTCGTCTTGATCCTCTGGAGAATCTCCCTCCTCCTGTGGCTGTAATTCTCATCACAGCAGTCATAGCAATGTTCACAGAATTTGCCAGTAACACAGCTACAATCATCATCTTCTTGCCTGTCTTGGCAGAACTGGTAAAAATACTCATATGTATCTTTTGAACAGCTTGCAGCATAAGCTCTCTTTTCTCTTATCAATGAGGAGACCTTGGCCCAGGCAGTAATAGCTGCAGTGGTGGGTTCCTCCCGGTTCAGTCCAGTTTGGTCAAGCCGGTAGCAGTGACGATATGATGTCACCGAACCGGTTCTCCCCCCCTGCCCTCCCACCGCCCCACCCCCCCCACGTTATTCTTATCTTTTATTTGGTCCCATCCCCAATCTATTGCTGCCTCCTGAGTCCCAGCTGATGACTAGAGGGAAAAAAACTGTTTAAACTCTTGCCGCGGGGCTTCAAAGGGCCATCCTACGGCTGATCAGTGTTAAAAGCAAACAAATGAGTCGGGTCGTAAGTGCGAGGACTGGTCGTAAGTGTGAGGACCTTCCAGAAATGACTCTGACCAGCTAGCCACGCCCACCTAGTCACATGACCTCCAAGCCACACCCACAAAATAAGCCACGCCCACAGAACCGGTAGTAAAAAAATGTAGAACCCACCCCTGAATAGCTGCCCTTACTTACTAATTTATCTTCTGGGTTGCATTATATCCTTGCACATGGCCATCCCTTTTCTGATAAGCACATCTGTAGAAGCTTTTTCATAGGACTTGGAACAAAACTTTGAATTTGTGTAGATCTCACATTGGGACTCCACTGAATTTGAAGAAACTTCAAGGAAGGGAATTCCTTTTCTTGATGTAATGTTATGCCACCAGACTCGAAATTTTGGGCTTAGACAACTTAGAATTTCGCCGTCTTCGGTCTGACCTAAGCATAGTACATAAAATCATCTGCTACAATGTCCTACCAGCCAATGAATACTTCAGTTTCAACCAAAACAATACAAGAGCACACAATAGATACAAACTCATGGTAAACCGATCTAAGATAGACTGCAGAAAATACGACTTCAGTAACAGAGTTGTCAATGCCTGGAATGCACTACTCTACTCTGGTTGTTCCCCAAATCCCCAGTCTAGACTTTAGACTGTCTACTGTAGACCTCACCCCATTCCTAAGAGGCCTGTAAGGGGCGTGTATAAGCGCACCAGTGTGCCTACTGTCCCTGTCCTAATGTTTTCTTTTATTCGTATCCTTTTCATGTATTTATAATTATGTTTACACTTGTATCTGTCATAAAATGCATGCTTGACGAAATAAAATAAAAAAAATATAAATATAAATAAATAAATAAAAACAGGGTTTTATTTGACATTATGCTTTCCTTGAAGTATTCTGTCAAGTGGGTTCCTATGGGATCATCTAGTGAAAGCGTGTACAAATGCTAGATATTATTTATTTATTAAGTTTATTTGCTGCTTATCTTGCTCCTGAAAATCTGGTTTAAAATAAAACAATATTATAAAAGATTAAGTAAGATAATAAATACCTTAAGTAAGATAATAAATACATTAAAATTAGCAAAGAAATAGACAGAATGGAAATCGGATCTTCTAATCCAAAAATCATTTACAGGATGACATGTCCCCATCCAGGCCTCAGGCCAGTTGACAGAGCCAGATTTTCAGGCCTTTATGGAAGGTCAAAAGGGCTGGACAGATCTCATATTGGGGAAATATGATGTTCCAAAGGGTTAGTACTGTGACAGAGAAAGGTCTTCTCCTGCCCACCCCCCAGCCAAAATTTCTTGGCCAATGTGGTCCAAAGCATGCCCTTATTACTGGTGCAAGTGAGGTGGGTCAATTCCATTGGGGTGAGATGGTTCCTCAGGTAATCTGGACCCATGCCACAAAGAGCATTATAGATAATATCTGGAATTGGACCTGGAAGCAAACTGGTAACCAGTGCAGCGCACATAATAGAGGTGGAGAGAGATATCTTTGGTCCTTCCTCAAAGATATATAATTCACTAATAAATTATCATTTAAAGTCTCATTTTTTTAATTTCTGTTTTTCAAAGGCCATTCGTTTGAAAGTGAATCCACTCTACTTAATGATACCAGGAACTGTAGGATGCTCTTTTGCCTTCATGCTTCCAGTCTCTACACCCCCAAATTCCATTGCTTTTGCTTCTGGCCATTTGATGGTCAAAGACATGGTAAGTTGCTTTATAAGGTAATTATTACTATAACAAAATTACCAACAACACAGGAAGGTGGATATTTATTTATTTATTTATTTATTTATTTATTTATTTATTAGTTCGATTTATATGTTGCCCTTCTCCGAAGACTCAGGGCGGCTTACAATGCTTTAAGCAATAGCTTTCATACTTTTGTATATACCTGCTTAGTCGGGCTTTTGGCCCCCCCCAAGCAGTGTTCTTTTTATACAAAGTCAGCTTATTGCCCCCACAAACCGGGTCCTCATTTTACCTACCTCGGAAGGATGGAAGACTGAGTCTGAGTCAACCTTGAGCCTGGTGAGAATTGAACTCGCAGTAATTGCAGGCAGCTGGCAGCTAAGTACTACTTTAACAGCAGTTTTTAGTCCGCTGCGCCACCAAGGCCCCATATCTTGATATCTTGGCCCCATAGGCTCAGTTAATTTGCAGTACCACATGTCACCATAGTTACCATTTCACTTATAGATTGTTTATCATACGAAGCTCAAAATTAGTTTACAGTAAGAAATTTTTAAAAAGCAGTAGAAAATGGATACAGGAAGGTGTGCCAGATAGATATTTGAAGCTAGTCTGAAGGTAATAGGGGATATGTTTAAATTAGAGCTGCATAGAGATAGTGTTTTGAATTTTCCACCAAATTTGTGAGCAGAAAAATTGGGTGGATGGTTTTGTTGTTCTTGAAAAGAAAAAAAATCCCACCCCACTTTCTCAAGGTAGATAATACCACGATGGGGGCGGGGGGGACAATGAAAAGTTCCTTTGCAGATTTTTCATTTGAAATTTGCCTGAAACATGGGAAGCTAGGGAGGCTGCAGACAGCTGGAGCAATGATTTTCCAATGAAAGATAAGACATTCATCATACACTATAAGGGTGTTGGAAATATTTCCAGTTCTAACCATTTTTGAATTCTAAGAATGAATTCTGAAATACCATTCTCTGAGTTTTAAGTACTTCCATAATGACTGGCGAAGCTCGTTTTGTAAAACAGATGTTTTGTATTAAAACCAATTGCCACACTTCTTCAGAATTTCAGATTTATTGTTCTCTTATCTGCCAAAAACCAAAAAATTCTAAAGAAATTTTCCCATCAAATTGATACATCTATTTACCTAGCACTAGAATTCACTTGTTTTCTTTTCCACCAAGCAGGGCTGGCGTGAAACCCCCTCCCATTTTTAGTTTTAGCTTTTAAATTGTCAAAGGGGTTTTAGTTTAGTTTAGTTTAGTTTCAATGTTTTAAATTTTTGGGCCACAGTTATTTAATTCTTTTAATAATTTTAAATTTTGTATTGATATGTGTTTTAGTCTGGCTGTGCACCGCCCTGAGTCCACTTGGAGAAGGGTGGGATATAAATTGAATAAAATAAATAAATAAATAAATAAATAAATAAATAAATAAATAAATAAATAAATAACACACTTTTAAGGAAGAAGTGAATTAGCAATGATTAAGCAATGATGAACGTTTCTGCCATTTCCCCAATCACATGCATAGCTTTGATTTATACCACAAAGGAAGCACATACAATATGATATGATATGACATGGCGTGTAACTCTGCCTGGTAGCTGCATATTTTACCTAATGAGAGACATCATAACTTCATAGCAGTGGAATATAGATAGGGAAAAGAGCATGGGGGAAAAAAATGGAACAATTCTCTTTCCCCTCATTGCCAGCTTCCCAATTTAGCTACCAGCCTATCATAAGTATAGGCCCATTGACATGGAGTCTTTGGACTTTCAAAGATCATGTGTTCACTAAAGAATTCTAAATAAATATGCACATTTGGATAAAAATATTATTTTTCTTTTGGACTGGTTAAAGAATATAAAGGAATGAATATTGTTAAGCAAACATCTGCATGTGAACCAATTCTTACAAATTTCCCCATAGTTGGTCTGAGGTTAGGGTGGAGTAATTCATTGGCACGATTGCAAATGAGGCAACAATTTTGGGAAGAATGTGAAAAAAAAGGAATCCCAAAACCAACTCATGATCTATGGAGCAACTCACAATTTAGGGAGCACATCCTGTCATTATTATTTCCATGACTATTGGAGGCCATTAATAATGAGAGAAAAAAAAAAACTATGGCCAAAACCTATTGCTTACTTCTGCCCAAATTGCAAGATGGTTCTTGTGTTCTATGACTATGCAGAGATTTCCTTTTTGTCCATTGCTATCCATATTTACAAAAATGTTGTAAGTAAAGTATATTATAGTAGGCACCAGCTGGAACTCTCAGGGAAGAACTTGGGTCATCTCCATATCTTTTGTAGCTACTACACACCTTGCTTCATAGAGGTGTGGGGGTTAATGATGCTGGAGATGGTCTCTGCTCTAATGGTTCAAAACCTAGCACTCTGTGACCTCTCATCATCGCCTAATAGTTCGAAAGCATGTTCTATGCAAGTAGATAAATAGGTACCACTTCGGTGGGGAGATGAGCTGGTGCTATGTGAAGCCACTCAGATTCCTCTCGGCTCTGAACCTTCCTGGTTGGAGTGCCTATTTACTAGGTGGCTCCAGGGAAGAGGGGGAATGATGCTGCAAGAAAAGAGCTGTTCATCTTTCTTTCTGGTGCAAAGCCAGCTCACCCTCCTGTGCCACACCTTGGGAAGCATGTGAGTGTATTCTACAACAGAGCTGGTAAATTGGCATCCAAACTATTATTCTGCAATAGCATTATGATCTCCTGGTTAAAGTAACAACACTGTATGCTAATAGTAATAGTAATAATAATAATAATACAAATTCACCATCAGTCAATTGGAAAAGACAGCTTTACTCAGAACAGCTTCCATTCTGTAACAAAATCTGTAACACCATCAAGCATCCAGATCTGCCTATCCCAGGTCCTTGGAAAGGACTCGATGGGTAGACAAAAATGCCAGACCCAGTTTGAACATCTGGATGACTGTGCGACCAACCATAATAATAACAACCTTGCTTTATATGTACAGCATTAGGAACATATCCAGCAATATGAGCTCTAGTGGCACAGTGGTTACAATGCAGTACTGCAGGCTACTTCATATTTTTATCCAGACAATGTTATGTTTCATTTGTTAGTTTTATTGATATTGTTTCCTGATTGCTTATTTGTACCCTATGACTATCATTAAGTGTTGTACCTTATGATTCTTGATGAACGTAACTCTTCTTTTATGTATACTGAGAGCATATGCACCAAGACAAATTCCTTGTGTGTTCAAACACACTTGGCCAATAAAAAATTCTATTCTATTCTATTCTATTCTATTCTATTCTATTCTATTCTATTCTATTCTATTCTATTCTATTCTATTCTTCTTCTGTTTATTCACCACGTCCCTCATGCTTTTTTTTGTTGAAAAGGAAAGGATGGAATAATTTATTGAAATGCCTTTTCTTGGAAATATTACTATCAGGCTTCCTTTAACTGGAAAACCCTCCTTTAGGAAATGCTAAGTTATGAGCCGTGGTGGTGCAGTGGTTAGAATACAGTACTGGATGTCTTCTGCTGACTGCCGGCTGTCTGCAATTTGGCAGTTTGAATCTCACCAGACTTAAGGTTGACTCAGCCTTCCATCCTTCCGAGGTCGGTAAAATGACCCAGATTGTTGGGGGTAATATGATGATTCTGTAAACCGCTTAGAGTGGGCTGTAAAGCATTGTGAAGTGGTATATCAGTCTTAAGTGCTATTGCTATAGTATGGCTGTATCCCAGCCAGAGCAGAGATATTAGCAAATGAGGTCTAAACAGCTAGTCCTGGGAGAGTTATCCCTAGTATTGGAATATTTACTATCCCTAGTAAATATCTAGTTTGATCTTTGAGCAAGTAACTGCAGTTTCCTTACTCAAAATTTCCCCATTTTATTAATGATCAGGCTTGCAGGACCTGAGGATATTAATTTATCACTGTCTTTTAAAATAGAAAAAAGGAGTATAGTAATTATTTGAATTTTAATCCTTTAGCAGCTCATTTCTTTTCTCTCCCATCATTGCCTAAAATGCACATTTTCCACATTAACTCATTGAATACATTTCTGTATTATTACTGGAGTTTAACTCACCATGAAGTTCCTGCAGTGAAATATTCGTGGCTTCCTTGATCTGGAAATTGTCTGAAATCCCATCCTTAAAGCCATTGCACAGATGATTTTCTGGAAGATGAGATGTAAATATGATAATCCATTCATGAAACAAATAGTTCAGACTATTTTGAATTAGTTCTAAATTAAGAAGGATGTATTCAGGGGCGGGTTCCAAATTCTGTTGCTACCGGTTCGCTCGTGCATGCGTGCTCATGCGTGCGGTGCTTCTGCGCATGCACAGAAGTATCCGGGCAGGTGGGCGAAGCCTCCCACCGCCGCTGCTACCGGTTCACCCAATCCGGTGCGAACCAGTAGCAACCTACCACTGGATGTATTTCAACTGAACATTAGAAGAAACATCCTAATGGCAAAAAAATCCAACTATAAAAGGAAATATCTGGTATGCCATTGAGTCTCTTTCCAGACCAAGGTTGAACAGCCACTAGTTGTAGATCATGGAAAGCTAAATGTCTTAAATTGAGCATTGGGTTGGGATTGATGACTTTTAAAGCCTGCTCCAGTTTTATAAGTCTGTAATGAGCCACACCTGCATTCTAAATCAAAAATATTTACTCTCTTTGCTTTCTTTCTTTGCAGGCGAGAACTGGCCTACTGATGAATTTGATGGGAATCTGTCTTCTGAGCTTGGCCATCAATACGTGGGCTATGAGCATCTTTCAGCTAGGCAGCTTTCCTTCCTGGGCCAACATCCATATGGAAAATGCAACCACTCTTTTGGAAGATGCTCAGAACATTACTTTGAACTTAACTATAAATAAACTTATATAACTATTACTTAACTATAAGTAAAGCAACTTTATTGATGAGATTGGGTGAGAAAACGTCTGTCCTCAAATCTGAGCACTAAATTAAATTGATATTGAATACAGGTACGCATGGAAGGACATACTGTTGATGCGCCTCCACCATAGGACCATCATGTGTTTTTGTTTGTTTTTACAAATCTTTGTAAATACTCATTGACTATTTGAAAGACATAAAAGACTTTTTCATTTTTCATTCAAAGAATTATCAAGTAGCTCTAGATAGTCTTTCACTGTTTGAGCCCTAGAAGATCTTTCCCCATCTTTTGTTGTTCAAATAAAGGGGATTATTTTGCTTTACTAAAGATGATCATTGCCTAAATATAGGCATATCTGGCTATTTAATGTAGGAGCATATTACATCTGAATACAGAAGCACATGAGTAATTAAAACAATGTATCTTCCCTTGAATCAGAAAGCTTATTGCAAACTATATATTCTCTGCCAGATACAGGCACAGCAGGTTATCAAAGCAGAAATGTTTTTAAAAATCATATTATATTGTTTGACTAAGGTAGTGACAACTTAGTTGAGTCTGTGATGTTTAGAAGAAACCCGGTGAGCAGATAATATTGATAATATTATAAATCTGAGTTGTTCTGAAAGATAACAGGTAAAATGGAAAATGTTTGCATATATGTGCAAATACAGGTGGGAAAGTACTGAATATAGAAAGAAAAGTGTTGATCATCCTTATTTTCTGTGTGATATTTATTGACCATCTATAAACAAAATAGCCATAATAAGGTCAAATAAAGATACTCAGAACTGGCAGGGCAGCCAATTCTGTTGAACATTGATAGGAATCTGTAGTAACTTAAATGCTGTTATCACCTCTTAGGCCAGAGTTTCCTTTCTCAAAATTGTTGAAAACCCTGATATGTATTAAAGAGCATGTCAGTAGATCAATACCCTTGATTTGGTGCCTTTTGTGTCTGTTTCTTGAGGCCAAAGTACAGTACCCATTTTGTGTATTTTTAAAAATTTTGTTTGAACATGTACACTCTCTCCTACCAGAATTACACACTTAGGGATTTTAATTATATTCTTGATCAATTCTATATGTGCACGATGATCTCTAAACAATTTCTCTAGTGACATAAAAGATGAAGTTAAGCTGTATAAAAGAATTGGATATGGCACCCCAGACATAACCAAAAGTTGCTCTCAAACTATAGTTTTTTTATGTGATAAAAAGGGGGTAATTGCTAAATATATGGCTAGAGAGAATTATAAATGTAATTAATGTTAATAACATGTAAATATGAGTAAAATGAAATTATATATGGTTTTTGCCATGAATATGTCCATGAATTTTGGGACTCAACGTTCAACTTCAAATGAGTTTCCAACACATAAAATGTTGCCTGCCCACAACTGCCATACACAAGTTTATTAGTCCTGTAAATGATAAACAATTTATTGATGAAAAAGGGGAGGGATGCAGATTTTCTGAATTAAAATGATCCTTTAACAAAAAGCAATTACTATGAAAAATTGTCAACAGTAAGATTTTGAAATGAGAACTTAGCCAGTTCTAGATTTTACCATGTCCTATTGTCTTATTGCAGACTTGCTAGATTCCTTCAGTGCATTCTTGATCCCATAAATGTCACGGATTTGAAGTAATCCAAAATCCGAAAGTAAAGTTGAATGCTGGTCTGTTCTCATTCAAAAATAATTGAAAGTGAAACTTAATGCTGGTCTGCTCTCATTAAGCTTAAGTGACTGGTTACCCTTAGCATTATTCTAGATTTTTTTTACAGTAGATAGCAATGTATATGAAGGAATCTGAACTGGTATTAAGGTTTGTTTTGTATTGTTCTCTAGAGTATGTTAGATTCCACCAAAAGCACTATCTGACTCCATATAAAATAAATTAATGTGCTGGGCATAGGATAGAGCAGTGTTTCTCAACCTTGGCCACTTGAAGAGGTATGGACTTCAACTCTCAGAATTCAATTCCCCATGCCAGCTAGGGAAATTTGGGAGTTGAAGTCTACACATCTTCAAATGACTTAGGTTGAGAAAAAACTGGAATAGGGTGTGGCTTCTTTTTATACTTGCCATTGTCCATTGGAGAAATTTATCTGGTATAAAGTAAAATGACAAACTTCACTTGGTGGTGGCATTAGTTATTGGCAGCATCATACCTGAGAATGCTTTATCACAGATCATAGTCGCTATCTAGATCTCTCCCTCTATGTGTCCAAATCATGAAAATGGTAAAAGTTTTGATTGTTGATCTTCCCATGGCCATTAGTCCTTTGTGGGGAATTATTTGCTGCTTGGATTTGAGAGACGGATGTTAAAATCTGATCAGTTTTTATTGATTGATGATCTGTGTACTTTCAGTGAAAGTGTTTGCGTATGAACATTGATTCCAATCAACACTGTAAACCTGATTCTGTGTTATATTATTATATATGTGTGTATAAGAATTGGACTTTAAGCAAGTATAAGATCAATGTTGAAAGCACGCTTTGGAAGATTTAATATAAGGAATTGTGCTGAGGGTGTATGGAAGTTCAGCCATGAATTTTGCAATGATTAATTTTGTTATTCCTTGCCTAGGCTTAAATCAGGATTTGTTTCTGGAGCATATGTGGCAAACAGAATGCTGGGTTGCCTTTCTTACTATCTCCTGTTAAAGGTTCATGCTAGTATAAAAATTATATTAAATCAACATCACTGATGTAAAATTAGGAAAAGGTCAAACTAAAATCATTGACATATAACCACCCAAGCATCAGATGACATAACTCCAGATACCTAAGGTGCATAATTGTGATGACTGAGAATAAAATGCATTAATTAGTCTATGGCATTGTTATGTTCTATGTGAGTCACAAGGAAGGCATGATGTCTAGCCTTTTTTTTCATGAACATGATGTAATGTCCAAATGAACGTTTCTATTAATTTCCACAGTATAAAACAAGATAATTATGTTGTCTAGGCTAGCTATAGAATTGTAAAAGTTGAAAAAAATCCAGGCAACCACTAGATGGCAATGGTTGTCTGAATTTTTGCAGGTTGGATCTCAAGCCTTTAAGGTACGGGTGTCAAATTCGATGCCTCACGTTGCCATCACGTGATGTTTCGTGACCTTTTCCCCCATTCGCAGAGCTGGGGTGGGTGTGGCCTGCGCGTGATGCATCTGGCCCATGGGCCACCAGTTTGACACCCCTGCAGCTTAAGGGAATGGAATATTTTTGCTAAAACTACAACACTGTATTTATTTTTTGACACAAATATTATGAAGCTTCTAAAAAATTACATAGAAGAAATATCAGTGATAAATACAGTGCTTATAAATCACTAATAAAAACAATAAAATAATTGCTTTAAAAAATACTAAGGAAAAATACTAATGTCAGCATTTTGAATGACAGAAGAACTTATCCAAATACCCTTCTTTGTTAGCTTATATTATGGCTGCCACGCACCCCTGACTGGGGAATTTAAGCATTGAAATTTTTACTTCTATAAAAGCATGTATGGAAAATAAACTATTTTATTTAATGTTTAAATATTGGGCATGATTACAAATGCAGCCATTAAAAAAACTTTTAATTTGGTCTCTATAAACTTGGTATCTGGTTTTTCCCTGCAGGAATCTTGCATCTATCATACTGTATAGCTTTTACTTTGAAGAGAGTGGGCCCACCTATTTTTAGTTATGGGTGCAGCTACTACTGGCATGTTGTGTTTGGTGTGTGTGCTTTCCCAGACCCTAAAAAAATAAAGGTTCCTGTGATCAAGCTTGATTCTTGGCAGTTTAATTTATTTGGTAATAATATATATTTGACATTCTTTCTAAGATGTGTTTTGTTTTCCTTGCCTTAAAGAAACTATGCAGATATGTCTTTCTCTTTTATTTTAGTATGCATTCCTGCTGGGGAATTTTGAGATATGTATTGTTTTGAGCCAGTGTTGAAATTCAATTTTTTTTTTTACTACTGTTTCTGTGGGCATGGCTTGGTGGGTGTGGTGTGGTTTGGTTTGGTTTGGTGGCCATGGCTTGGTGGCCGTGGCACGGGAAGGATACTGCAAAATCTCCATTCCCACCCCACTCCAGGGTGCAAAATCCCTATTCCTCCCCACTCCTGGGGGGAGGATATTGCAAAATCTCCATTCCCACCCCACTCTGGGGCTAGCCAGAGGTGGTATTTGCCGGTTCTCCGAACTGCTCAAAATTTCCAATACCGGTTCTCCAGAACTTGTCAGAATCTGCTGGATTTCACCCCTGGTTTGAGCCTCATGTAGAGGCATTAAGATTGTCTCCCCTTAAAGGTGGGGCCTTATCTTGCTTTAAATGTTATATTAGCTATTGAACAGAAGGAGGCACTATGTACATACTTTCATCCTTATTGTGACACTTAGACATAGATATCCTTCATGCTAGATGTTCTATGTTCAATCCAATGTTTAACACTTGAACCCACAAGCTTAACTATGTGGTGCATTTAGCTTTCAAGCTATTTTGGCCTGGTAGTCAGTAGCTTACAGAAAAAGTCAGTAGGGTTGTAACTGGTTGTATAGTGCCTCCTATTGGTCATTCATATTATACCATTTGATATAACATTTCCTTGCCTAGCCAAAAATCCTGTGCTATCTTGGTGGTTTCCCAGTCAGTCCCATTCAGATCCCCCAATCAAGTCCAACTTTGCTTAAATTTTCTACTTCAGCCTAGGTTCGTTAAGTGCTGCCAAAGTTTCTTTACAACATGATTTATGATGAATGTTCTATAATGCAGGGTATGGTAACTTTTAGAGACACATACTATAGTAGCAAGCATTCAGGAATGGGCTGTATTCCAAACAAATATTATCAAAACAACACATAGAAATTGTCATTCAGATGCTTGGCAACTGACTCATATTTATGATGGTAGCTGTGTCCAGGGGTCATGGGATCACCTTCTGCAGCCTTCTGAGAAGCAAAGTCAACGGGGAAACCAGTTTCACTTAACAATCATGTTACTAATTTGCCAACTGCAGTGATTCACTTAACAAAGTTGTAAAATGGGGCAAAACTCACTTAACAAATATTAATGTTTCACTTAGCAACAGAAATGTTGGGTTCAATTGTGGTCATAAGTTGAGGACTGCCTGTACATGTACTGTGAAATTATCTTGGCAAAAGCATGGAAATGGTTTGCCATGGCTGCCTTCTGGGGATGTAGCATATAATTGTAATTGTAAGATTTCTGGGGGTCTTCTATCTGAGTACTAGCCTGGTTGGACCCTCCTGAACTTTCTTCGAATTCCTGGCTGCTGTCATTTTCTATAGTGAATATTTATTTATTTAAATGATTTATATTGCCACTCATCTTACAAAATATACTTCTCTACAGCTAAAAGCAATTAGACACTATAAACATATAAACTCCCTTTTTTATGGCCCTTATTTTTTTTTTTAAAAAAAACCCTATAGAATTAAAACCATCACATATCAGATCATATAATAAACCTGTAAATCTCAAATTCCCTGGTTATTTTACATGTCTGGGAGATACATTTCTAGGTGATTGGGTCTTTTATCTCCTAAAATACTATCCTTTTAGCATACCTATTCAACCATTAGCTTTAAAACAATTGACAATTAGTTTAACACTAATCCATCCTATTGTTATGACACAACCACCCAAATTAGAGATGCAACTTTTAATTGATAATCTGAGATGTTCCTATCTAAACAATGGAAATTATTGCTAGTTGGTTTTGTGATACACTCTTGCTTTGCATTTATATTCACAATACAATGACCTCTGGTTGTAATTCAGAATTTATGTGTCTGATGTTTGGATTATGCATTTTCAGGCAGCATTGTAATAAAATCACACCATTTGGCCACAAGGAGCCAGTATTGTGTTATACAGGAGGAACTACACTGATAGTACTACCATAGTATACATTTTTTTCACATGCTTTAGACAAACACTCCAGACCACCAAAATTACTGACCTCTTTTTTTTTCTGAACAAGAACCACCACAAGATGCTTTGATTAACATTTTCTAAAAAGATTTCTGTACATTTGCACTAGTCATCAACCAGAGAGCAAATAAATGAGATCATGGAGATATGTGCATTGAATATATCTACTGCAGAGATTATTAAAATGTGTCTCTGATACAGGGATATGAGAATGTTAATACTAGATCAAGGATGCTGAGAAACAAAATATTTTGCAATTATTAATAGAATTCAAGTTTGGAGAAATCTATTTGGAGAAATCAAGTTTGGAGAAATCTATAAGCTTGCAAATGATGGTGTAGAAAGTTAGCACCCACCCCTCTCCTAGAAGAATGAAATATTTTAAGGAAATATTTAAAAGGACAGGATAAAATAAAAGAGAAATAAAAAATCTTAAGGGAGACAGAAACTCAGAACCCCAGCCCACAAGCAGATATTGAGCTGGGACATCTTTTAAAAATGCAGATTTGGTAATCTATTACTCCCTGCAGCAAAGTCTGAACAAAGGCAGATTAGCCTTCACCCAAGAGCCAACACAGGGCAAAGCCATTAAGGCATAATAGGAATTATTGCATCACCCTCCAAAATTCAACAAACGTAGCTCAGACAAACACCTAGGATTTGTACTTTGCCTATAGAGCCAGCTATGACCCCCACAGAAACCCTACATGGCACCATGTGAGTCTGACAACAGCTAATAGAATACATGTTCTTGCACAGGATCAGGAAGCTCAAGTGCAAAGCCCAAGAGAAGGTATAAAAACCCCTCACTCTCAACTCCATGTGGTCAGCTGCCTAGAACCACCCATGTGGTTCTACTTCACCATCAAACCATCAAACCATCTTTCCAATCAGCCTCCAGCCTCCATTTTGTCTCCAGTGTCTTTCTCCCAGCTTGGAACTGAACCAGATATTTCTTCCAACAATGGGTTTGCATTTACCACAGAATTAGGGCTGCAGAGCTAGGAACTCTATGTAAGCTCTCTTCTCTGCAGCTCCCTCTGTCTCCAAAAACTCTGGAGAACTGGGGGGTTTTTTTGGAGCAGCTTTTCTCAACTGGGGTTCTGCAGAACTGCAAGATATCTCTAGTTCTGTGAGACTTCCTGATTTTAAAAACAAACAAACCACTTTTTTTTAAAAAAAAAACACGTTTTGCACTATGCAGTGCTAGTGCTTGCAGTGGTTGGAATTTTTATATGCCATGACTCAGCTGCTGGCCTGCCATTCATGGGTTGTATTTGTTAGATGTGAATTCTATTGTGAAGTTTTTGTATTTTGGCCATTTTTGTGCAGGCCATCCTTGGTTTCATTTTCAATTATTTATTTACCCTAGAGGAGCCAGGGTAAAAATATGGGAAAAGGCTGGTTTGGAGCCTCATGAGAAATAACAAGCAGCGGAAATCATTAGCTCCAAGTCCTTTTTGCTTTCACAAACTGAGTGAATCTGCTCATTTCCAGATAAATCGTTTATCAAATCCATCATGTTTCCTTTCCTCAGCTACTTTTCCTTTTCCTATGGATAAGAGAGGAATTGGTGTATTAATAGCTGGGATAATACATCTGAAGAGCTGATTCTTAAGATGGCACTGAGCAGTGGTGGGTTGCTACCGATTCACCCCGGAACTGACGAACTGGTAGCGGTAGCAGCAGGAGGCTCTGCCCACCTGCCCAGACGCTTCTGCGCATGCGCAGAAGCATCGCATGCACACATGAACAAACCGGTAGCAAACTAAATTGAAACCCACTACTGGCATTGAGGTTACACTAAGAAATCATTGCAAGTTGTCAGGATTGTGATTTAGGTCTAGCCTAAAATGTTGTGAAGTTGTGAAAGCACTAAAGTCAGAAAGGAGAATTATTGCAAGGAGGTAGAATCAAGCAGTAGATACGGCTCTTAGTAGGCTTTCCTCTATATGCAAATGCTTTAAATTTTAGCTTTAATTTTTTAATATAAGAATAGCCTGTTTCCCCGAAAATAAGACATCCCCTGATAATAAGCCTAATCGGGCTTTTGAACACATGCGCTAAAATAAGCCTCCCCCCCAAAATAAGCCCTCCCCGAAAGTATTTAAACGCAGAGCTGGAAATCAGGTAAGACAGCAAGAGGAGCCCCATCTTGCTCCACATGCCCCAAAATAATAAGACCTCCCCGAAAATAAGGCCAAGTGCTTATTTCGGGGTTCTAAAAAATATAAGACAGGGTCTTATTTTCGGAGAAACATGGTATCAATATTATATTAATGTTGGAACAATTTAATAAGAGCTTAGTATATGTTTCTATTATATCAAATGCCTGGTAAGGTCTCATTGTTCTAGAGTTAGACCATTCTGTGATTAAATTTAAGGAGCAACTTGATAATAATTTGTAATAATTTATCTGCAATAAATAAAAAGGAAGAGGGGGGAAAGGAGAAAAAGATTTGTGTCCCAAGGTACTGCAAAAACAAACCCAACCTACATATCAGAGCAAGGCAGACTGTGTGAGCAGATGATATAGCAAAGCATTAGCAAAAAAAGTCTAATAAAGCTTGATAAGGTTGTGTGTGCTCTCTGATTAACTTCTAATGAAACCAGCTGTGCTTGAATTTGAAGCCACACACTAGATACTTAATGGCAGCTGCATAGAGGCCATATCTTGTTATACATCTCTGTGGAATGTGTGACAAAATAAGTATTCTTTAAACCTCCCCCAATCAGGCCTATTTAACCCATTTAGGGATGGATGAAAATGATACCTTAAGCCTGTGCACATGTGAGAATACCCATGAAATTTCAAAAAGTAAAGTAAAG